ATACAGGTAACAGATAATAATCAAGGTATAGTCGCAGCATCATTATCTATTCTTCTCCTCGGTGTAGCCAAACCTTTTCGCAAGCAAAATATAGCAATTAGTGTAGGATTTTGTTTCCAGAATGGCAATTGGGTGTGACCAAAGGCGCCAACCGTCTGCCCTCCTGTACCATTATACCTTTGTTCTGTTTCTGTGATCAAGAACAGGGTGCTCTAAAGTTCCTCCATTCTTTTTTGACTTCAATTAAACCTTTGGCACAACTCCAAAAGATCTATAGAAGAAGTATCGGTGGAGGAGAAATGCTTGCCCCAGTCATTGTGATTGTCCTAGTTTTATCTCCCAGTTCAGGCCAATGATGAAAGATGGAAGAACCCTGCCAGCAAAATGAAAATAACATAGTAAACCAAACACACGACGTCAGCAGGAAGAGTGTCAGTGTACTAATATAGTTAGGAAGTTAGACAGAGATTTGAATGATCCAATATGTTTGCTTGCATTTTTGCTTGTTTTCAATAGTTATACTACATCCTGTCTGTCTGGTGTGCTTTGATTCTTGAATGGCAGAACGGGGTCAGACTGGATGGCCTTTGTGGTCTCTCCCTATTTTATTTATATCCCATCTTTCTCCCAGTACGGGACTCAACTAATACGAAGTTACATAGGGAGCCTCGTGGCTGAATGAAGACTTGAACTTTTGGAGGTTTTGTACAAATCCCTCCCAAGAGATGATTTTAAATTATTTAAAACTATTTTAACAGGACTGACAAGATGGATACTGTGTAAAATTCACCTATGAGGGTATTACACCTCTTTAAATGGACATTTTATACAGCATAAGGCCCCTTCTATTCTGTCATATAATCCAGTTTCTGAATCCAGATTATCAGTTTTAAACTGGATTATATGGTAGTTTAGACTCACATAATCCAATTCAGAGCAGATAATCTGGATTCAGATACTGGATTATGTAGCAGTGTAGATCCAGCCAAAGTTCTAATGATATGATTTTTGAGGGGTAACAGAAAGTGATATTTCTGTGCAGAACCTTATTTTCTGTGCAAAAATTGCACAGGTTAATTTTGTGCAGATAAATCCTGATTTAGTAGCCAAAATGGTGTAATGGATCAGAGCCTCTGTATCGCGCAACGGGTTAAACCGCTGAGCTGCTGAACCTGCTGACCAGAAGGTTGGTGGTTCAAATCTGGGGAGTGGGGTGAGCTCCCACTGTTAGCTCCAGCTTCTGCCAACCTAGCAGTTTGAAAGAATGCAAATGTAAGTAAATTGATAGGTACCGCTCCAGTGGGAAGGTAACAGTGCTCCCATGCAGTCATGACAGCCACATGACCTTGGAGGTGTCTAAGGACAACACTGGCTTTTCGGTTTAGGAATGGAGATGAGCACCCTAGAGTCGGACACGACTAGACTTAAAGTCAAGGGGAAACCTTTACCTTTACCTTATGATGTAATGGTTGGATGTTTGGACCAGGGCACTGGAGACAAGGATTCAAATGCTCACACAGCCATGAATAGCCACTTTATTTATTTATCGTGTCATCAGCAACCATACCATTGTGTTACAATTCTAACAGAACAAAACAAACACACAGATTAAAAAGAAAAAAAGAAAAAAAACACACAGATTTTGCAAACTTGGTAGTTGGTTAAATGTCCTTTGACCAGTATCTGGCTACTTGGAGTGCTTCTGGTGTTGCCGCAAGAAGGTCCTCCATTGTGCATGTGGCAGGGCTCAGGGTGCATTGCAGCAGGTGGTCAGTGGTTTGCTTCTCCGCACTCGCATGCCGAGGATTCCACCCTGTAGCCCCACCTCTTAAGATTGGCTCTGCATCTCGTGGTGCCAGAGCACAGTCTGTTCAGTGCCTTCCAAGTCACCCAGTCTTCTGTGTGCCCAGGGGGGAGTCTCTCATCTGGTATCACCCATGGATTGAGGTGCTGGGTTTGAGCCTGCCACTTTTGGACTCTCGCTTGCTGAGGTGTTCCAGCGAGTGTCTCTGTAGATCTTAGAAAACTATTTCTTGATTTAAGTCGTTGACGTGCTGGCTGATACCCAAACAAGGGATGGGCTGGAGATATCACTGCCTTGGTTCTTTCACTAGTGGCTGCTACTTCCCGGCGGATGTCAGGTGGTGCAATACTGGCTACACAGTGTAATTTCTCCAGTGGTGTAGGGCGCAGACACCCCGTGATAATGCGGCATGTCTCATTAAGAGCCACATCTATTGTTTTAGTGTGGTGAGATGTGTTCCACACTGGGCATGCATACTCAGCAGCAGAGTAGCATAGTGCAAGGGCAGATGTCTTCACTGGTGTCGATCCAGAAGCAACCAGAGATGAATAGCCACTGTGTCACACTCTCTCAGCCTCAGAGAAAGACAATGCCAAATCTCGTCTGCACAAATCTAGCAAGGAAACCCCATGAGAGTCATGATAAGTTGGAAATTTTTTGAAGGCATAAAGCAAGAAGTCCTAAACTGAGATCAAACTTTGAAAACTGAGGCTTTCAACAACTTTTTTGCAGCAGGAAAAAGTACTTGTTGCCTCCTTTGTTCTAAACAAAGAATGAAAATCCCTAGTAGAGTGTGGACAGGGCTTGATTGCATCAGGAGCAATCGATTTTGTATATACATGGAACAGTATTGTTCTTTTCCTTCAAAGAATAGCACTCCACTTGCCCCAATTAGACATTGCCCCATGTGTATTTTGTTCTGCAATCTCAAGATCTGACCTGTCTCGTTTATTATGTCTGTATAAACTAGTCCAGATATGAAACCAGGATGTAACCATTCTGATCAGGATATTGGATGTTGAGCCTTACGCATGTGGCAAGTAACTGTGAGTCCATTCAGAAATGGATGTGGTTTCAGCCGTTTCCTCTTTCCTGGCTTAGGGACTGGCCCGGCAGGGATGCGGCTTGAGTCACTGTTTGTTAAAGAAAGACGCTAATCAGGACTTTCGCCCTTGATGAGGCAAAAACAACCCCCATAATTTAGACGCTCCAGGAAAAAGAGTATTTTCCACGGAAGAGAGAACTGTTACCTTCCTATATTTGTGGTTAGCTGCAGGAAGAGTTACAACATGAGAACATTGCACCACCAAATGACATTTTCCTCCTCCATGAACTTTATCTCCTGTCACCACAGATTTAGCCTTGCAGACAGTGAGACACTGAAAATAGCACACACCGGAAGCTATAATGTCTATATTTACTGGGTTATCATTGGGTGCATCTACACTGTAAAATGTATGCTATTTGACACCACTTTAATTGCCATGGCTTTTTTGTGTGTGTCAGGAGCGACTTGAGAAACTGCAAGTCGCTTCTGGTGTGAGAGAATTAGCCATCTGCAAGGACGTTGCCCAGAGCACCCTGTAGGAGGCTTCTCTCATGTCACCACATGGGGAGTTGAATCATAGAATCATAGAATCAAAGAGTTGGAAGAGACCTCATGGGCCATCCAGTCCAACCCCCTGCCAAGAAGCAGGAATATTGCATTCAAATCACCCCTGACAGATGGCCATCCAGCCTCTGTTTAAAAGCTTCCAAAGAAGGAGCCTCCACCACACTCCGGGGCAGAGAGTTCCACTGCTGAACGGCTCACAGTCAGGAAGTTCTTCCTAATGTTCAGATGGAATCTCCTCTCTTGTAGTTTGAAGCCATTGTTCTGCGTCCTAGTCTCCAAGGAAGCAGAAAACAAGCTTGCTCCCTCCTCCCTGTGGCTTCCTCTCACATATTTATACATGGCTATCATATCTCCTCTCAGCCTTCTCTTCTTCAGGCTAAACATGCCCAGCTCCTTAAGCCGCTCCTCATAGGGCTTGTTCTCCAGACCCTTGATCATTTTAGTTGCCCTCCCCTGGACACATTCCAGCTTGTCAATATCTCTCTTCATTTGTGGTGCCCAGAATTGGACACAATATTCCAGGTGTGGTCTAACCAAAGCGGAATAGAGGGGTAGCATTACTTCCCTAGATCTAGACACTATGCTCCTATTGAAGCTGACAGGGGGAGCTCATCTGCGCTCTCTCTGGATTCAAACCTCCGACCTGTCGGTCTTAACCCATTGAGCCACTGGGGGCTCCATTGCCATGCATGGCTCAATGCTAGGGAATCCTGGGATGTGTAGTTTAAGTACACATTGGTACTCTTTGGCAGAAAAGCCTAAAGATGTTGTGAAACTACAACTCCCATAATTCAATAACATTGAGTCATAGCAGTTAAATTGGTCTCAAACTGCATTAATTCTACAGTATAGACATACACCAGAAAGCCTATACTTATGGATTCTCATTAAATAAAACTAATCCTAAATAGGCTGGCATGCAGGGAAGGGGGTGGAGATAAATAGTGGTAGCGATGGTTGCTATTACTGTGGTTGTGGCTGTTGCTTACTGTTGTGTGTCTTCATGTCTTTTTTGGCTTATGACAGTCCTAGACTGAGTCTATCATGACGGTTTCTTGGCAAGATTCATTCAGACAGTCAGGGAGACAAAGGTTTTGGAAAGCACTGTCAGCACCATCATCTCCCATGAGAACTACACTCACTTCGAGAAAGCCAAAGACATTGCACTGGTTCACCTGGCCAGGCCTGTCAACTACAACAGGGATATATCGCCTGTCTGCTTACTGAAATCTGACCACCGCTTTGCCTTTGGTTTGCAACTGCCTTCCTCTAAGGTTGAGAGAGAGTTTGCTTGCCCAAGGCTAACAAATTAGTTTCTATGGCAAAGCTATGATTAGAACCTTGTTTTCCCAGGGTTGTAATACAATACTCAAACCACTATAGGATACAGGCAGCGACAATAGCAACACTATAAGGAATACTAAAATAAGGAGGACTGGAAACTTATCTGCCACTACTTTCGACTTGTACAACTATCATCACTATCAGTTATTATAATAATTTTTTGCTGGCTTTTGGTGATGTTGACATGGGAAAATTTAAGAATTATAAATAGTTTTTTTGTTTTTGTCTTTTGCCTAGGTTTCCATCAGATATCATCTGCACCAGGTATGTACCACAATCTTTCAAAAGGTATTTAGAACTGACAATATGGAATGAATTCGTGGATTCTGAGCTGACAAACGTTGAGCATGAGATTGGTTTTATTGATTGTGACGTATAATTGATTGTTTTAATTGTTTATAATTGTTTTAATTGCTGGTTATATATGTTTATTTTTTGACTGTTTGTGTAGGCATCGAATTGTGCCTTTTGTAAGCCGCCCTGAGTCCCCCCTCGGGGGTTGAAAAGGGCGGTGTAGAAATATACAAAATAAACAAACAAACAAACAAATAAATATTTAGCTAAGCATTTTAAAGTAAAGGTAAAGGTTTCCCCTTGACATTATGTCTAGTCAAGTTTGACTAAGCTGAAGAGCCGGCGTTGTCTGTAGACATCTCCTAGGTCATGTAGCCATCAAGACTGCATGGAGCGCCGTTACCTGCCTTCCAAAGTGGTACCTATTGATCTACTCATATTTGCATGTTTTCAAACTGCTAGGTTGGCAGAAGCTGGGACTAACAACAGGAGCTCATGCTGGCCTGCGGATTCTAACTGCCGACCTTCTGGTCAGCAAGTTCAGCAGCTTAGCAGTTTAACCCGCTGTGCCACCATGACCCCCAAAGCAATTTAGTCAGAATAGTTGCAGTGAAATCCATCAGCACAGTGAGGCTACCTCTTCTTTGGACAAACAGTTACAAGGAAAATGGTTTCGAATAAGAAATCAGAGAAGTTACTTTTTTGAAGTAGGGTTCAGAATGTCCTGGCCAAGATGGCCAATGGAGTTGTAGTCCAAAAATGTAACTACTTTACATTTAAGGTGTCCATTGAGTGGGGCTGATTGGATAGATATTTAAAATGCTTGTTACTCACAATATTTGTAAGTCTTTTTAATGCATATAGAGTGGTTTGCAGAAAGTCAGGCTAATAACATTTTATATTTCTTGATGAACTAAATACTATATTGGGTTGTTGTAGGTTTTTTCAGGCTATATGGCCATGGTCTAGAGGCATTCTCTCCTGATGTTTCACCTGCATCTATGGCAAGCATCCTCAGAGGTAGTGAGCATCCTCAGAGGTATGGCAAGCATCCTCACTACCTCTGAGGATGCTTGCCATAGATGCAGGCGAAACATCAGGAGGGAATGCCTCTAGACCATGGCCATATAGCCCGAAAAAACCTACAACCACCCAGTTATTCCGGCCATGAAAGCCTTCAACAATACCTTAAATACTACTGTATATTTCAGATTAAGCCATTATGGTGTCCACAGGTTTCATAATTTTCCCTGTACTAGTAGATTCATATTAGTTGGTGATGATGGGATTTCTTGTCTTACCAAAACATGGAGTCCAGATGTGATTGGAATACAAGTCCCATAATTCCTGAGCATTAGCCAAGCTGTCTAAGAATTATGAGGATAATAGTGGTGTGTTTTAACCTCCTTATTTCCTCTCCAGCACTGAGCTGTGGCCGCCAAAAGCTGGTTCCCCGGATGGCAGGGGGGATAAATGCCAACCGCGGAGAGTGGCCCTGGCAAGTCAGCCTCCAGTACCGTGGCCAACACATCTGTGGTGGAAGCCTCATCAGCAACGAATGGATCCTGACAGCTGCACATTGTTTTTTTGAGTAAGTTAAAGCAGGGGGGGGGGGGGGGAAATCACCCTTGGAATGGCATTAATTATAGCTTCCCCTTTTAGTGATTGTAAGTCAGAGATTACATGGAGGCACACAACAAAAACAAAGAGCTTGCCTTTTCCCTTGTATTGCTTAACTTGAACAAAAATACCAGTTTTTCAAAACCTGAAGTGGGCTCCCAGCCATTTCCTGTTCCATTTTGTTCCTGGAGGCAGTAAAATGCACCTGCAGTAATGGTCCTCATCTGCTCTGTGGATTCTCTTTAGACATCCCAACTAGTGTGGAAGAAAAGTAATTACTTTTGTAATTATCTTTGTCTCACTATCTCTGTATCTTACTTCTCTTACAGGGTTGGAACCCCAATCAACCCAGCTGACTGGAAAGTGGTGCTGGGCCGTCTGAAACTGACAGGCAGGGAGACACGGGGTTTGGAAAGCAACGTCAGCATCATCATCCACCATGAGAACTACACTAACTTTGAGAAAGGCAAAGACATTGCACTGGTGCGCCTGACCAGGCCTGTCAACTACAACAGGGATATATCGCCTGTCTGCTTACCGAAAGCTGACCACCGCTTTGCCTTTGGAACGCAGTGCTGGTTGAGTGGCTGGGGAGACGTCGCCACAAATGGTGAATGAGAAAGATAATTCCCTCTTCCCCAAATCCCACCTGCTATTACAGGAGAAACAATGACCAACGGTCTATATAAATCTTCATACCATGGTGGATGGTGGTTTCCATGTCAGTGGGGTGATGGATTCTATAATTTAATCTCTTGGAGTGAATTAACTATCCTACTCACACGGGAAGAACCAGCAGAACTGTGTGAAAATGTATGCAATTGCAGTGTAGGATTTTGATGCTTTAAATGAGCTCTCCAAGGTACTGATTACTGTTCCTCAATGTGTTCTACATATTGGAGAACTCCTTTACAGCTAGTAAAAGCCTGGAATGGATTCACTGTCCAACTGACATGGGAGCCACTATTTCTCTGCATGTGGAGTGATGTATTGCTCTACAACTCATTATTGAAAATCAGTGTTGTGCAGCTGGATGTATATATACATCAGTGTGTATATTTGTATGTATGTATGTATGCACAATGGTACTAGCTAGACAATTGCTCTCCTCTAGATTTGACCTGAACACGGGGATTCTACATCAGACACAAAATGTTCATAGGGAAATGCTTGCATTCATAAGACACACCCACTGGATTTTAGCCTTCGTCTTTTTGGTGTTCCTATTGTTAAATTATCAGGGTGGCAAAAAATACTTGATATTCATGATCTATCAGTTCATAGTCCTCTACCTGTCTACCTATTTCTAAGAGATTCCAGCTTCAATATATATGCAGATTAGTAATACTTAGCCAGAGAAGGAAATGGAACAGTTGGTGACCTGTTATTCCTAGGACCAACCTCATCTTAGGCTCAGAACCTGAAAATATTCCATTTTTAGAATACACAGAATACAGTTGTTTGAATTCTTTAGTTTGCTGCCTAAGGCATTCTAGGAATCCAAAAAAGCAAATTTGCCATGCTTTGCTGAAGGTAATATATTGTTCCACAAACTTAGTGGCTTTAGAAAGGATATTGGCTATTGAATGTGATGATGAGGAACATGAGGAAGAACTTCCTGACTGTGAGAGCCATTCAGCAGTGGAACTCTCTGCCCTGGAGTGTGGTGGAGGCTCCTTCTTTGGAAGCTTTTAAACAGAGGCTGGATGGCCATCTGTCAGGGGTGCTTTGAATGCAGTACTCCTGCTTCTTGGCAGGGGGTTGGACTGGATGGCCCATGTGGTCTCTTCCAACTCTATGATTCTATGATTCAATGATGATGATGATGATGATGACAGACACTAGGGAGTGACACGATCTCCAGCTACAATGGGCATTTGAGGTGATCTGGCAGGGCTCTTTCCTTTTTACATATTGCAGTCTGATAGAATCTCTGGCTGGAACTCAGTAAAGGATGTACATCTTCAGAACTGGACCTCCATGCACATGAAAGAGAACCAAGCAGTTTCACAATGTCTGCCTCCACCTAGGGTCTGCTGTGCTATTACCACATATGGACATTTGTTGCACAGTGTGGAGTGCCTGATTCATTACAGTTTAATGCACAATAGCACACCAGGGTTCTTCTAGATACATATCTAAAAAGTGCTTCAGCACTTTCTAGGAAGTGCTGAAGCAAAACAGGAGTGCCCAATGCACATCAGAAATGCCCACTGTGCACCAGATTATTTGCCAGTGCCATGATACGCTTCTTCACAATTCACTAACAGGGTTTCATTGCCTTTCTGCAATGTAGCTAAAGGTTCATAAATCAGGTCAACATAGACTGTGATGTTGAATCTCAGCCTTGGTGTGATATAAAAAGTTACCTTTTTCAGTGTACAAAGGTTCAATTGTTTGGGACCTGTGCTCCTAAAACATGTCATCTCATTCCTTCTTGACTTTCAGTCAGCCTGCCAAACCCCATGGCCCTCCAAGAGATGGGGATGGACCTGATGACTGTTGATACCTGCAACTGCATTTACAGCAACCTGAGGAACCGGAGGATTGTCAACCCAGCCTTGCCCGGCATGGTTTGTGCCATGACTCCTGACAGGCAGAGAGGTCCTTGCAAGGTCAGTGAAAAAAGCACATGAAAGGCTCAGATTAATAGGTTTGGGTAATTGCTGGAGCTTCCTAAAATACTATATTGCTTCTTCAATTTGCTTCAATTGTCCAATCCTGGAAGCTGCAGAGTTGAAAATGGGCTCACGTGTGAACTTTTTCTCTGCTGATGAGTACAGCTGGCCTTCCTTACTGATGGGTTCTGCAAATACAGTTTCAGCCAAACATGGATCCAAATATTCAGGGGGGGGGGGGGGAGAATCCAAAAAGCAAACTTTGATTTTGCATTACACTGATGTGTAAAGCATACCATGCTATAGCCTCCTGCAATTTCATATATCAGGCTCTCTCTAAAACCTGTTTTGAGTTGTTCATCATTTTATACAATGGGCATCATTTTACTAAGTCATTGTATATAATGGGATTTCCATGGATTTTGATATCTTCAGGGGGTCCTGGAACCCAACCTGAGCAGATACTAAGGGCCCACTGTATTATGATTTGAATATAATTTCTAATGTGTTTATTTTTTTATTATTTGTATAATTAATCTCTGTGCCACCATTTGTAGGATAGGGATCCCATTGTACAGAAAGGATTCCTCATTGTGGAAATGTTCTGGAGCCCAAACTGTTTTAATCCAACCCTTTATCAGGAGTCTGTTTCCAACCATTCTTTCTCATTAATGAACCATATTTGAAGTCTCTTGGTTTACTTATGGACAAGGACCTGCCCCATAAAGATCAGTGACTGGCAGAGACAAAATAGATGGTGCACATAATAATATAAAGTTTTTCTTTCAACCTCAGGGTGATTCAGGTGGTCCTCTGGTTTGCTTGGAGAATGGCTATTGGTTCCAGGCAGGGATTATGAGTTTCTCCATGGGCTGTGGCCAGTTCTACGGACCCACCTTCCTGACCGAGATAAAATCCTACGTCAGCTGGATCCAGAATCACGTCACCGCGGGCACCTTTGCCAACCAGATTAGGCCCTTGCCTAATACCACAGACAGCTACATGTGCACAGGTGAGGTTCCTTATCTAGGACAATTGTTGAAGTACAGTTTTATGACCTATCAATCTAAAAGAAGATTATGATCTGTGTATGTCATTCCCCTTTCCTTCATGGCAAACTGTCAATACCCAACTATTTTTCATGGGATTTGTAATTTGAACCAAATAGGATCATGAACCTCAGTTCCTCCAAAACTTTGATTGCCAGCAATTAGGCAAGGGAAATGAAAATCTTTTTGCAACATTAAGTCTCCTTCTGAAGAGAAAAAGTGGGGTATAAATAACAATAACAATAATGATACTTTTTGGTGCAGTGTTTCCCAAACTTTGGTTCTCCAGATGTTTTAGACTTTGGCTCCCAAAGTTGGCCAAGTTAGATAGGGATCCTGGGAGTTGAAGTCCAAAACAGCTGGAAGGCCAAAGTGTGGAACCACTGTGATAGATGGTATCAAAATAATGTGGTGTTTTGGTTTAAATGTTGGATTAGAACCCTGTGAGAATCCTTTACTTAGCCACGTAAACACCCTGGGTGACTTTGGGCAAGTCTTAGTGTCTGTGGAAGTGATGGGAACGTGGGCACCATTTCATATCCCATTTCTGGCTTCTAGGTTGTGGAGTGATGAAAAAGAACATGACTGGCAAAGGGCCCTGGCCCTGGTATGTGAACTTACGGTATGAGGGGGAACACGTCTGTGGAGGCACTTTGATAGCTGAGGACAGGATTTTGACAGCTGCACAGTGTTTCATTGGGTGAGTGGGGGATGTTTGGATAGAGCTTCCTATCTGGCTTCCAGTAACCCCAACAAACATGAAGGACTGAGGGTATTTGTCTTCCATATAATTCCTTCTGTACCATTTTTTTCAGGCGCCAGGAAACAGAAGGCTGGGAGATTTTGCTTGGTGAACAACAAGAAGCTGGGAAACAAAAATGGCAGCAGAATAGGACCCTTCAGAGCATTGAGGTTCATGGTGCCTACATCGAGGCAAAAGAGGGCTACGACATTGCAATAGCCAGGCTGAGCCGTCCCGTGGACTTCAGTGACAGCATCCGGCCCATTTGCGCCCCATACGCCAAACACCAGTTTCCATTGGGCTCCACTTGCTGGACTCGCGGACGGAGTATTGGTATGCTGAGATTTCTCTTCTAGTGGAAGGCATAGGCGTAGTTCAGGCTTGTAAGATGTACTTTGACTCTAGTCCAAGACCCATCCATCCCCCTTCTTTGCAGAAACAGGTGCAAATTGGCAGCGTGGGAAAGATGAAGTAACTTGCAAAATAGTGACTTAAGGGGTAAAGCAAATTCCATATTGTGTTGTCTAGACACAGAGTCAAGAATAACCCTTCCTTAGTAAATGCAAAAGTTCCACAGTTCAGGGAATCAATTGGTTTAATTTGAAAAAAGGAAGCCCTAATCTATTTAAATATTGTTAAATGACCCAGAGCTCACACAACTACCTTCTGGGATATTGTTGATCAGCGTTCCTCAACCTGGAGGTAAGAACCCCTGGGGGGGGGGGGAGGTTACGAAAGAGTGTCAGAGGGGTCACCAAAGACCATCAGGAAACACAGTATTTTCTTTTGGTCAGGAGGTTCTATGTGTCAAGTTTGGCCCAATTCCATCATTGATGGGATTCAGAATATTCTTTGATTGTAGGTGAACTATAAATCCCAGCAACTACAACCCCCAAATGTCAAGGTCTATTTTCGCCAAATTCCACCAGAGTTTGCATTTAGGCACATTGAGTATTTGTGCCTAAATGGTCCAGATTCATCATTGTTTGAGTCCACAGTGCTCTCTGGATGTAGGTGAACTACAACTCCAAAACTCAAGGTCAATGCCCACCAAACCCTTCCAGTATTTTCTGTTGGTCATGGGAGTTCTGTTCAATTCCATCATTGGTGGAGTTCAGAAAGCTCTTTGATTGTAGGTGAACTACAAATCCCAGCAACTACAACTCCCAAATGACAAATACAATTTTCTCCCCACCCACCCCCCGGCAACCCTACCAATATTCAAATTTAGGTGTATTGGATATTTGTGCCAAATTTGGTCCAGTGAATAAAAACACATCCTGCATACCAGATATTTACATTACGATTCATAACAATAGCAAAATTACAGTTATGAAGTAGCAATGAAAATAATTTTATGATTGGGGATCACCACAACATGATGAACTGTATTAATGGGTTGTGGCATTAGGAAGGTTGAGAAACACTGCTGTAGGTGGAGATCCTGCACTGAGCAGGAAAATGGGGCTGCTTCTTGGCTCTTTGATTTTATTATTCCTGCAGGGCTGCTTTGAGAGGAGATGGGGATAGTGATCAAGACTGATCCCATACCCATTTCCAAAAGTCAAAAGTCTCCTTCCTTAATTATACCTTTCTACTTTCTCCAGAGGGGAAGGGACGGTTGAGTCCTCCGGGCGGCGTAGAGGTGAAACTCCTTGGTCCCAAGGCATGTAACTGTACCTACTACAAGACCAGCGACCATGGAGAAGAGATTCCCATCACCTCTGAGATGTTGTGTGCCACACCCTATAAATCAACCATGCGCTGTGAGGTAAGGCACTGCCACCTTTTAGATCATGGGTTTTCAGACAAATACTTAGGACAAAGCTGAGGTTGTGGTCCTAGATTAATATGTCAAGGTTTTAAAAAAAAAACTTGAGACTGAAAATCCAAATGAGGACCTCTTCCAATTTCTGACATGGGGCACAATTCAATTAGATGGATCTGTCATCCAAAAAAGTAATTATTCCAAGCTCTGCCTCTTTTCCATTTCGGCTGTGCAAAGAAACATGTGGTTGCATATGTTCAAACTGACCAGAAAAAGGAAATAAAGGGATGGAGCTTTAGTTCCATGAACCTATCCATATTTGATATGGTGCGAAAATCCTCAATATCCATAGATTAAAATCTACAAAACATTTATATCCATGTATATACATGAAGCACATATATTTGTGCATTTTGGTTGGTCCGATAAAGGTAACACTGACTTGTGGCTTTTATATTTGGCTGTATGACCAACACAGTTGTCCCTGAAAATGTATCCATATATGGTTATTATCTTGCTTTAAATCTGAAAAGGCACAATGCTCTACAATTCTGCCCTTCTCACTGAGAAACTCATAAGCTTTTCTTTCACTTCTTGTTCTGTCTCTTAACATTATATGTTCAAATGCTATTAGTAAGATTTCAATTCAGACAACCAGGAAAACAGGAGAGCTGATTCCCAAGTGGCACTGAACCACAGTACTTAGGGGTCTTGGCTCTTATATCAGTTTCCATCTACAACAGTGGTTCCCAAGCTGTGGTCTGTTGACCACCATTGGTCCACAAGAACTAAAATATGGTCCACAGCCTCACAGTTACTATACCATTGCAACAAGAGCAACTGGTCTCGCAAAACCCTCTTATAGTGCCAAGGCTTATTAAATATAGTTTTCTGTGGATGAGCAGTTGGCAACTACTGGATGGCATATGTTCTGAATCAGAAACTAGAGCTGATGTGGTCTATCCAATGCAATTTTCTGAATCAGCACCCCAAATAAACCAAACCAAATCTAAAGTTGACCAAAAACTGATTCGTAACCCTTTTGGTACTGTTGGAGAGTGGTCCCTGGTCACGTGGTCCCTGATTAAAAATAAAAAGGTTGGGAACCACTGATCTACAAGAAAGAAGCCACATGAAGACAAGGAGATCAGACCCAGCTCAAGAATGTCCTTCTTATACTGTAATTCAAAATATGATCCCACACTGATATTCTGCACTGAATTGTCACCTATGTTTTTGAATCTGCTTCCTTGCCAGAGTCTGTATCTCAGCACCAATCAATTGTTTACTTCTACTACAGTACTCCTCTCCTTCTCACCTAAGGCTGAAGTCATATTGCACATTATTGAAAAAAAAAAGATGGAGGCATTTAAAACAAAACAAAAAATTCCAGAGGTCTATGGTATGGCAGGAGTTTGGCTCCAAAACCCCCCATAGATATCAAAATCTGTGGATACCCAAATCTCAATATATGCAATGGTATAGTCAAATGCTTCTGCCAACCTAGCAGTTCGAAAACATGCAAATGTGAGTAGATCAATAGGTACCGCTCCGGCGGGAAGGTAACGGCGCTCCATGCAGTCATGCCGGCCACATGACCTTGGAGGTGTCTATGGACAAAGCTGGCTCTTCGGCTTAGAAATGGAGATAAGCACCACACCCCAGAGTCAGACATGACTGGACGTAATGTCAGGGGACTACCTTTACCTTTTTATAGTCAAATGGTGTCCCTTGTGGCAAAATCAAGAATTGCGCCTTGGAATTTTATTTTCAAACTGTGGATGGCACTATTCATGGATATGAAGGGCTGACTGTTCAAAACCTCTGGCAAAAAAACAAAACAAAACAGTATTTCACAATGCAGGCAGCTAATTTAGGCACTGAAAATCTTTTAGAAATCCAGTAAACACAAACCAGTAGGACAACACAACATTGAAAGCTCGTTGGAGTCTTTATTGAAGTCCTGTCTGCAAGAAAACTGCCACTTGCAGAAAGATAACAAAGAGAAAGCCCCCAAAATCTGGGAGCAGCCACCAAGAAGGTCAAATATACTTGGCAAGCTTGTGGGACTGAAAGAAGGCCCTACCTCAAAAGAGCTCAAACAGCCCCATATGATGAGATAAAACAGTCCTTCAGATAAATATAAAATTGGTTTGATTCTATGTTTAGATTATCTAAGTACAGCTCTATAGTTGGGATGGTTAGTATAGTCTGCCCTCCACATTCACTGGGGTTAGGGACATAAGAACCCTTTGAAAGTGGAAAACCCCAAATTGAAAAAATGAGAGAAGATTTCTCTAGGAATTTCTAGGTCTTACAGCGTGTCTCAATGGTCAACTTCTACTGCAAGCTAATCACAGAATCGTATCAGGACCTAGAGATTACCAGATACTTCCAGTATGACTGGAAGAAGTTGACTGTAGGGTCACACTGGAGGATCTAGAAATTCCTAAAGAGTACATTTTTTAATCAAATCTGCAAAAGTCAAAACTGCAAATGTGGACAGACGACTGTATTAGTATTGAATATTCTTCCAGATATCCTGTGCTGGCATTAAGAGATTGATCATTTGTTTAATATTCTACAACCCTATCATCCCCTCAGTTATTGTACTGTAAGGATAAACCTACCTTTCTCTCTCTCTCTCTCTCTTGCGCCTATAGGCAGGTATTGGAGACCCTATGGTTTGCAACCACAATGGGGTGTGGTTCTTGGCAGGCATCTCCAGCTTCGGAAAGGGCTGTGGGACCGTGATGCGCCCAGGGGTTTACACATCAGTCAGGGCCTATGATGAGTGGATCATGCAGAATGCCTGGTCAGCATATTATGCCGTGCCAAAGCCGCCTCTTCCAACGGCCAGCGATGAAGACAGTTGTCTGAAAATATAACTTCCAGGTAAATTAGGCAACTAGGACAGTCTTGGGGAAAACAGAGTGGCAATTTAGGGAATTTATTTTATTTATTTCGGTTTCTTCTACCCCGCCCTTCTCACCCCGAAGGGGACTCAGGGCGGCTTACAAAAGCAAAGGCACAATTCGATGCCTGCATCACATAACAGTCGTAAAACAAAATAGCATCAATTCACAGTTAAACAACAATTCCTGCATTACAACCATAAAACCAATAAAATCAATACAAACCCAATTCCTCCTCATAAACAGTCAGCGTTCGCTATCTCATAGTTCCAATTTCAATTCCACATTGTTCATCCTGTCAGTCTTACTCGTCTGATTGTCTTATCTAGTTGTCGGATTGCCCAAAGGCCTGGTCCCACAACCACGTCTTTACCTTCCTCCTGGAGGAGGGATGATGATGCCCTAATTTCCCCCGGAAGTGAGTTCCACAGGTGAGGGGCCACCACTGAGAAAGTCCTGCTCCTCGTCCCCACCAGCCTCACTTGTGAAGCCTAATGGGCCACAGTCTGCCTAAGGGCTACCATCCCTATTTTAAAGTTTGGGAGGCAGAAGGGCTCAGAATAATTGTGTAAGCATGTATGTATATCCATAAATATACACATCTGTATACATCTGTATGCATTGACCAAGAGATATCAAGGCCTGGAAAAAATTCAAGACCAAGAAAATGCAAAGGTTTGGGGAATATAAAGGAGAAGAATTATTTTGGAATTACTGAAATGTATTTTAATACAAGTGAATCCTTTGGGTTAATCCCAAATAAGTAGACCCACTGTACGAATTTAGGGACAGGAAGTCAACACCTAAGTAAATTGCACGGATTGAATGAGTCTAAGTTTAGTTGGTATTAATTTTAATGTCCTGTGTGTATTTTTATTTTATTTTAATAGCTCTATTTTCCTGAAGTAAATGAGTTAGTAAGTTTGCTCTGCCTTCCTTTTTCTCTGCAGGAGCGGGTTATATGTACAACACAGGCAAAGGGACAATGCTTGATATGGAAGAGGCTTACACAACAAAATTCATTCTTCTTACCCCATTTTCTATTTTCAAGAAAGCTCTTTAAGAATATGACTGCTAGTTTCCATCATACAACCAAATCTTGGGAGATGTGCTATTATTAGAATCAGAGTTGGAAGAAACCTTGGTCTCCAGAGTCATAGTCCGACACTCAAACCACTACAACAGAATGCAGTTCTATTTCCTGCAAACCAAGTCCACTTACTAAGACATATCTATATTGTTCAATGCAAAGAATTTATAGTAAAAGGGAAAGGTTTACCCATGACATTAAGTCTAGTTGTGTCCGACTCTGGGCGGTGGTGCTCATCTCCATTTCTAACCCAAAGAGCCGGCGTTGTCTGTAGACACCTCCAAGGTCATGTGGCCGGCATGACTGTATGGAGCGCCAATACCTTCCCACCAAAGCTTTACTTATTGATCTACTGACGTTTGCATCTTTTCAACCTGCTCGCTTGGCAGGAGCTAGGCCTAAAAGCGGGAGCTCATCCCGCTCACCGGATTTGAACCACTGACCTTTCAGTCAGCGAGCTCAGCAGCTCAGCAGTTTAAACCGCTGTGCTGTCTGGGAGCCCAAAGAATGTATACATAGCAGCATTTATTTTCTTCCTTCATGAAGCTCAGAGCACTTTAATGTTACCCAAAGCTTTAAAACCAGTAAATGTGGTAGATATGACTTGCCCAGAAGTTCCTGTAGCTGAGACAAAATTTGAACTTTGATTTTCCACATCCGAGTAGGCCATTTCTAGACCACGTTCCACTCCGGTTCTCCTTGAATCCAAAATGTGAATGGGTGGGACCTGGAATCTTCCAGGCTTCCTCCGATGAATTGTGTCCAGGCAGATTTCTATTATTTTGAAAATAATAAAACTGACAATTGTATGGATTGTTCTTATGTGCAGTCAAGTTGACTTGGACTTACGGAGATCCTCTGAATGAGATCTCCAAGAGAACAAAGTCATATGGGTTTAATGATCTCAGAACTTTAAATCATGTGAAGAGAGCAAACGTTCTCAAGGGATAAACTGATGGTTTCTATGCTTAAACAGATATTACTGACATTGCTATTCATATGGAAATATGTTGACCGGCAGGTGTGAGAGCAGACATACCCCTGCTTTTGTTGAATTTTCTCTTTAGGGAGATCCAGCATCGTTTAAAAACCAGTGCTGAAACCTTTTATTAGGACAGAGATTTTGTGATTGATTTTTTAAAAAGATTCTTAAATTATTTTTCTAGTTTTAATACTATGTTTTTTTAAATATATGTGTGTGTATATATTTATATGCTGACACTGTATATTTATTGTTATAGCATATTTGTTTCTTCAAATATCTTGGGAAAAATTGTAAATACGGGATATAAATGATTAAAATCACTGAATAAACCAAGCATTGGAGTTGTCTGCGCCAAGACTTTCGTGTCTACCACTGTATTAACTGTTAGCCATCTCTCTGGCTATTAGCCATCTCTCTGGCTATCCAAGTTAAATGAGTGTGGCTTTTCTACCATTTTGTTAATGCAGTATTTCTCAACTTGGGGGTTGGGACCCCTGTGGGGGTCATGGGGTGTCAGAAGGGTTGCCAAAACCATCAGAAAACACAGTATTTGGTCATGGTTGTTCTGAGTGGGAAGTTTGGCCCAATTCTATCATTGGTGGGGTTCAGAATGCTCTTTGATTGTAGGTGATCTATAAATCTCAGCAACCACAACCTCAAGGTCTATTTTCCCCGGAACTCCACCAGTGTACACATTTGGGCATATTGAATATTCGCGCCAAGTTTGGTCCAGATCCATAATTGTTTAAGTCCACAGTATTCTTTGGATGTAGGTGAACTACATTTCCAAAACTCAAGGTCAAGGCCCTTCCAGTATTTTCTGCTAGTCCTGAGAGTTTTGTGTGCCAAGTTTGGTTCAATTCCATCATTGGTGGAGTTCAGAATGCTCTTTAATTGTATGTTAACTATAAATCCCAGCAACTACAACTCCCAAATGACAAATCAATCCCCCTCCTCCAACCCCACCAGTATTCAAATTTGGGCGTATCAGTATTTGTGCCAAATTTGGTCCAGTGAATGAACATACATCCTGCATCTCAGATATTTACATTATGAATCATAACAGTAGAAAAATTAGTTATGGCGTAGCAACAAAAATAATCTTATGGTTGAGGATCACACAACATGAGGAACTGTATTAAGGGGTCATGACATTAGGAAGGTTGAGAACCACTGATGTATGGGAAATCTTATATCTGCATGTTATTGTGATACTATGTCCCACTTCTCTCAAACTGGTCATTGACAGTAATACAGTGAACTTGAACTTGTTATTGTGATATTATACCATCCTGGGACTGGATCGAGACAAAGTTAACCTTGGTAGAAATCCATCTGAACATTCCACCCCAACTAACATATGGCCATTGGTATGATTGGGAAATCAAATGAAACAATCTCAGCATGGAACCAAATATGGTATCTGCAAATTTGACAGCTCTCCCAAGGCAGTATCTTTCTTAGTTTTCTTCATTACTATTCTGCCAGAATTTGGGGTAGTGGTGGTGAGGATTATTTGTTGCCATTCTGGAAGTCAAGCAGACATTGATGACGTAGCAATCCTAATGAAGTAAAGACATGATGACCTGGCCTATTGCTATCATTGATTCAGAGGGTAACAGTAAAATGGGGCAATCTTAACCAAAAATGCTTGTCTTAAATTGTTCGATTGTGAAAGACACAGGAAGAGCTTTGTGGGAAAGAGCCATTTTAAACGTCACAAGTGGGGGTCACCACAACATGAGGTGGCATTAGGAAGGTTGAGAACCACTGTGTTAAAGTATCCAGCCAGTAACATTTCATCTGACAAAGAAAACAAAGAGGGAATATATATATATATAGAAACACTGTTTTTAGAAACCAAGAACAATTTATTTGCAGTTTTTAAGTGTTTCACATATCAGGCATGGCCACCAGGAGGTGCCACATACCCATGCGATTGACGGTCCAGGAAAAAAAAAACCTGGGGTGAAGGGCATCTAATAGGGCAGAGCGAGGAGGATCAAAACTCCAGTTACCTCCTCATCTCTGGAAGGGCAGTGAGAACTAGTAAGTTAGGTCTAGTGAGTTAGAACTAGTGAGTTAGAAAGGAGAATGACTTAACATTTGAGAAGTGCCTATTATTCATGACATCCCAACCCCTTAAAAAAAATCCCAACAACCCAAAAATATTCACACGTACATCTAAGTACAATGGTGATATTTAGAGAACTGTTTCAAGAAGGCAGAGGGGAGTAAGGAAAGCAATCCCAAACAAACACTTGGCAATGCTGTTGTGACTTTCTCGGGAGGGCTTTTGCTGAAGCCAAGTTGTCAGTTGTTGAGAACAGCAGCATAAGACAGGACCAGAGAGTCAACGTGTAGTACATAACGGTGATGTAAGAATAAAAATGGAAGAGAGGGGACATATTTCAGCTGGCCAAATGAACAAATGCACATAAACACACATATACTTATATATGTCGCTCTCGCCCCAGTAAAAAATATGACTCACCTATGTTAGAAATTCTATAAAACATTCACAACTGAGAATTTGCAACTACATATAAATGGGGACTTCTGCTGAGCTGAATCAGGGGAAGAATTTGGATGGCTTCAATGCAAGACATTTGCACCCAGCGCAAGTTTATCTGCGACATATGTCAAAAAGTCCTGCCTGGATGAGATAAACATGAGGACGGCCTCGGAGACAGCCACACATTTTTTTATCCTTGCCAACCCATTCACAGAAAAGGAAAGACTGGTGACAGTCTAGTTTCTAATTCTGTTTCAAGACTGAGCAAGCCTTTCAAAGTATTCCCAACAGCTAGCTGATCCTCATGGCCAAGAACTTCCTTCTAGAAATGTCAAACCATGTAAGAACCCTTGCAGTGGTTCTCAACCTGTGGGTCCCCAGATGTTTTGGCCTACAACTCCCAGAAATCCCAACAGCTGGTAAACTGGCTGGGATTTCTGGGAGTTGTAGGCCAAAACACCTGGGGACCCACAAGTTGAGAACCACTGATCTAGAGAAATCTCCTGCCAGGGCTGTACCATTTGAGACAATGAGAGGGAAGGTCATGCCTATATGACATGGGGTGAAAACATTGCTTCCTGGCCAACTTGATGTACTAGGTTATGAAATGCAAGGAAGAGTTAAAACAGGGAAATGTTCAAATCTTCAGATCCTCTTCTTCGATTAAGCAGTGTAAACCCCAACAGAACCCTGCTGGGTCGAGGTCAACCTCAAGGCTAAAGTCAAAATGTGTCCTTAGAACAAGGAGATGAAGAGATCAGGAAATGATTCCAGTTTTCAAGATAATAATTCATTCTGGACTTATAGGAATTGGCAACCTATGGGCCAAAGAGTTTGGGAGTATGATCATCCTCCAATAATGGCTATATTGTCTAGAGCAGGCATGGGCAACCTCTGGCCCTCCAGGTACTTGGGACTCCAACTCCCACAATTCCTAACAGCCAATGTTAGGAATTGTGGGAGTTGAAGTCCAAAATAGCTGGAAGGCTGAAGTTCACCCATGCCTGGTCTAGGGCTACCATAGTGGAGGAAACATTTGATCCCTCAAGTCCAGGCATGGGCAAATTTGGGCCCTCCAGGTGTTTTGGACTTCAACTCCCACCATTCTTAACAGCTTCGTGCCCCTTCCTGCTTAAGTGGCTGAGGGGAAAAAAAGAAAGGGCTTGAGGCTATTAGGAATGGTGGGAGTGGAAGTCCAAAACACCTGGAGGGTCAAAATTGGCCCATGTCTGCTCTAGCTTCCATCCTTTGGCACTACCATCTATTATTTTGGGAAAGTCTGAACATCTTTGATGACATCTACATTCTGAATTTGGCTCCAATTCACATCTTCCAAAAAGAAAACAAATACGTTTTCCACAACAGTGGTCCTCCGCATTTAGCACTGCTACCCACAACATTTGTTGGTTTAATCACCCAGAAACCCATCTAGACCAACAGCTGAGAACAACTGTTTTACAGTGTCTCAAAATAATAGCAGATTCGGGGTCAGAGTAGAAGAGACTGTGGTCATCATTTTTTTAAACAATGAGTTTTGACCCACTGAAAACAGCAGGCCAGTGGGGCCCGTTTTGGTTCAAACTGGAGCAGGGGCAGAAGGTTAAAGCAGTGGTTCTCAGATTGTGGGTCCCCAGGTGTTTTGGCCTACAACTCCCAGAAATCCCAGCCAGTTTACCAGCTGTTAGGATTTCTTGGACTTGCAGGCCAAAACATCTGGGGACTCACAGGTTGAGAAACACTGGGTTAAAGAGACCTTCCTCTCAACTGGGATAAGCAACTATTTCTGGCACCTTGGAGGGCCATGCCATTTGCGCAACCTTCAAAAATGTGAAACATTCCTCCCCCAATTTTAACACTGTTTTGGCCTTCACAGGGTCAACTCAGTCCCAACCTCTGTGTCAATTAACTTTGGGGAAAAGGCCTTTCCTTGAGGTAAAGAGAGCACCACCTCCACTGCCAAAATTGTCTCCAAGATGTGGGGGTTTTTTTGGAGAGGGGATAGAGGAATTAAAAATGCTGGACTCAAAAAAATGTGATGGGGAAAGTGCTTTCCTAATTCCTGTTTTACACCATGGGTTTGATTAAATTTGGGTTTCCTTGTGTAATGCCCAAGCATGTGTGATTTGAAGAATCACGTCAGGGATTATACTATTTTTTTTTTAAAAAAAACAACAACTTTGAGCAATACATTGACTGGGTTGTTGTGAGTTTTCCGGACTGTATAGCTATGTTCCGGAAGCATACTATCCTGACAATTTGCCTGCCTCTATGGCAGGCATCATCAGAGGTTGTGAGGTATGCCTGCCAAAGATACAGGCAAAACGTCAGGAGAGAATGCTTCTGGAACATGGCCATACAGCCCGGAAAACTCACAACAACTCAGTGATTCTGGCCATGAAAACCTTTGACAATACACTGGCTGCTGTGCCCTACTCTCCTTCTATTCCTACATTTGATATTCTCGCTTCCTCTTTCTATGTCTCAGAAGGACATTTACATGGGTGGTTATGTGATGACGACAACAAGAGAGATCTGAAGATTTGTGCACTATGGCATACAGTCACAAGCCTCAGCCTGGTGACTTTCACATGTGTGAGGAGACAACTCTCAAATAAGTTGTGTGGACCACGGTGATGGACATTGCAGTCTAAAACATCTCAATGGCACCAGACTGGGGAACACAGCTAGAAAAAGCAGACAGATGTTTGCCCTGCGAAACCATGACCTCCAAGACTCTGTTCCCGAGGCTTAGATCTATACGGGATTGGTCTGACTGGGATTGGAAAATAAACATTTCACCGAGCTGTTGTGTGTTTTCTGGCCTGTATGGCCATGTTCCAAAAGCATTCTCTCCTGACGTTTCACCTGCATCTATGGCAGGCATCCTTACAGACCTCACAACCTCAGAGGATGCCTGCCATAGATGCAGGTGAAACGTCAGGAGAGAATGCTTCTGGAACATGGCCATACAACTCAGAAAACACACAACAATCCAGTCATGAAAGCCTTCAACAATGAATTAAACATTTCACCGACTGTGCTGTTAAGCAGTTCCTGCTTATTTCACTAGAGCTGGCCCAGGAGAACATTTTGGTGAAGTATGCTCTAATTTTGCAGAGAATTTGTTTACTCACACAGAATTCATGCTTTAAGTCAGTCACCTCTGGGGACCAACTGTAATTAACACATTCCTCTTTTAGCGAACGTTCCCAGACCCTGTTTTTAAGAAGACCAAAAATGTATGAATCCTGGACATGTTTTTGAAAAACAAAAACTCCCCTTCTCACCAAGGAAATGTCAACAATTTTCCAGTTAAAGAGGTAGAAACCAAAAGAATTACTCCACGCCAAAGGTTCTTGTTCAGCTTCGTTCTAAACGAAGCTCCAAACCGGCATGTTGTTTTCCTTTCAAAACAGTACTTCGGTGATTTTCTCTCTAAAAACAGTAATTTAAATACCATATGTGACTTAAACATGGACTTGCTACTCATCCGACTTTCCAAATGTATTTAAAAACATTACCCAAAAAAGAGTTCTAAATTTCAGATCAGTAGGGCGCTTGAAGCACATGCTCAAAAGGTTTCAAGGATTCTCAATTTCAGTTCTTCAAATAGACTCCAAGACAAAAAAAAAGGTAGATGTTGCTGTAGGGAGGCATTTTAAAGGGACACAAAGGTATGGATGGAGGTTCCAACATAACGCTCCATGAAGGAAGAGCTCAATCACTCCAGTACTAACTGACCAAATGTTCTATAGAGAACGAAGGTTCACATACTCCCATCTTCCCCATACTTTTACCCCTTCCTCCCCATATTTCCACCCAAAGCTGTACCCCTTTATATCCCCTGGCCTCACACGTGACCCCTATATGTATACTCCTTCCCTTCCTTTTTTCCAATGCAGGGACATTTCTTTCCATGGAGAAGGCCCCCCACTCAACTATTCTAAATTTCCCTAGGGTTTACTCTCCCTGCCAGACAATCCTTGGCATGCACTCTCCAAAACCCTCAGCTGCCTGACTCCATAGCCACTGGATGCCCATTGTCCTTGGCATGCGAGAGCTGGTGCTCCTGGAAGCTGAGCTGCTGAAAGAATGTCTGGGAGCACACAGGGCAAACTAAAGTCGCGTTCTCCTCCTCCTCCGTCCTGCAGCAGGCCTTGGTGTGGGCAGCCAAGCGCCGGGCAGTCCGGAAGATTCTGCTACAATGGGGGCACCGGTGGCGTTTCTTGTCCTTGTGGGTATGAAGGTGGTTCTTAAGGGCCAGACGGTTGTAAAACTCCTTCTGGCAGGTGGGGCAGCGGTAGAGGCCAGTAGCATGCGCCTGCTTGTGGTTGATGAGGCTACCAGCGTGGCGGTATGTCCGCTCGCACCGGTCACACTTGTAAGGCCGCTCCTCCAGTGTCTGATTGGTCGGGACTGTGCCAAGAGGGGAAAGCTCATCTTCCTCAGCAATGTCACCTGCCTCCTCCCTCTGATGCCTCCTCCGGTGATGCATCAAATCCCTGGAGGCCCGGTAACTCTTACCACACTCTGAGCACTCGTAGCGTTTCTTTGAGTGTATGCGGCTGTGGTTCTTGAGAGCAATGTGGTTGGGAAAGTGTTTGGAGCACAAATGGCAGGGAAAGGAGCCTGCCGTAGCCTCCGTGGAGCTGCTCCCTTGCTCCCTTCCTGAAGCAGATTTGTTCCGGTCCCATCCTTGCCGCGAGGTGCTGCCGCTATTGCCAACACCACAAGGATTGGGGCGGCGCTGGTGTTTCAGCAGCTGCCGTTGCCACTTGAAGCTCTTGCCACAATCCGGACACTGGTGACGTTTCACTTCATAGTGGATCCGCTGGTGGTTTTTCAGGGACATGAGGTTGGGATAGGCCTTGCTGCACAAGGAGCAGGTGAAGTGTCCTACCTTGTGGCTCTTTTGGTGATTGAGCAGGCTCCCAGCATGGCGGTATGTACGCCCACACTCCCCGCACCAGTAAGGCCTCTCCTCGGGATCTGGGCATTGCTTGGCAGCGTTTAGAGGTTGGGCTGAATTCCCTGTCTTCCCAGCCCGCTTGGCATGAAGAGATCTCCGGGAAGGATGGGCAGAGGAGTCCCGCTTCCTCTCACGGTGCACTCGCTGGTGGCTGGCCAGCTGCTTCTGGAGCCGAAAGGCCTTGGGGCACTCAGGACACCGGTATCGTTTGGTTTCATAGTGAGTGCGGTTGTGGTTCTTCAGAGCCATGAGGTTGTAGAACTGCTTCTGGCAGATGCTGCAATGGAACAGGCCTGTCTTGTGGGTCTGCTTGTGGTTGATCAGGCTGCCTGCATGTTTGTAGCTGCGCTCACACAAATTACACTGGAAGGGGCGCTCCGAGGAGGAGTCCTCTTCTTCAGCAACTGGGGAATTTTCTTCTCCAACTATCACTTCTTTCTCTTCTTCTAACTTCTTGTCTTCTTGAGCAAGATGCAGGGGCCAATGGGCTTCCAATACTGTTTTCCCCTCATACAGCTCTCCACAGATATCAAACAGCTGGGCCTTCCTGCACTCTGGCTGACTAGCCTTCAGTTGTCTTCCTGATTTTTCCTCTCTAGTAGGAGATACTGGAGACTTAGCGTACGGCAGATCTTCCTGGTTTTGAAGCACTGTAACCCTATGATCCAGAGGCTCTTCCTTAGGCACTGTATAAGAAAATGGTGGGTCTTCTGCTGCGACAATGACTGGTTGCCGATTTATTGGCACACTGCCACTTAGCTTGCATCTTGGATGGTTGCGGAGGTGGTTCTTATAAGCTGACAAGTTGGGGTACGGACGGCAACAGACACTGCATTGGTAATCTCCAATCTGGTGGATTTTCTTGTGGTTGACTAAGCTGCCACCGTGGCGGTAGGTTTTCCCACACTGGCTGCAGGCATAAGGCCGGTTGTCCAGGAGCTCCATGGGAGCAGCAGGCACCTCCACTGGAAGTGGTGGTGGCTGGTCCTCCTCTACACGGGAAGCTCGTCGGAGCTGCATGGAAGTGTCGGCCAAGGCAGCAGCTTTCTCCTCCAGATGTCCTTCGCTGTGCTTCTCCAAGCTGGCCATATCATCGAATGTCTGACCACAGTAGCCACAGATATGTGAGAGGAGCTGCTCCTCTTCTCGTTCCCCACCACCATCCAACTGCTCCTCTGCCTCCTTTTTGAGCTCCACATCCTGCTCATCTCCCTGGGTTTCTCCCTCTTCATGCAACAGACTGTGATGCTGCTGAAGGTCCTCTTCGCTGGGAAATATCATGCCACAGAAGCTGCAGAGGAAGGGTTGCTCCTCGGCACTGCCATCTATGCCGGGGCTGCCTTCAGAGGATGCCGTGGCCCTGGTATGCGCATGAAAATGGTTTTTTAGAGCTGTAAGACTGGAATATTCTTTGGGGCACAGGGAACACTGGTAGATGCCAAGTTGGTGGGTCTGTTTATGGATCACCAAACTACTGGCCTGGTCAAAGTCCAGCCCACATTGGTCACAGACATGGGGGGTTACTTCAGTGTCACCTGACAAAGGCGAGGGAGCTTGAGACTGCCAACCATTTGGGACAGCATCTTCTTCCAAAACATTACAGCTGTCACTTAGCTCATCTCCTGAAGGCAGCAACACAGGGAAGGCAGCTCCATCTTCAAGTTCACCATCCTCTTCCTCGTTCATAGCTATTGTGGTCTCAGATTGTGTCCTCCTGGGTCTCTGATGCCCACGCAAGTGGCTCTTAAGTGAAGCTACGTTTTGGAAGTGCTTACCGCAAACTGAGCAGCTGAAATCCCCTGTCTGATGTGTCTGTTTGTGGTTGATGAGACTCCCTGAGTGCCGATAAGACTTGCCGCACTGGTCACAACCATACAACCGCTGGAGGGAACTGGGGGACTCAGTCCTCTCAGCCATGCCTTCTGACAGTTCCCTTTCATTGCCATGCTGCAAGACATGACTCTGCAGGCCATCTGCACTGGCAAAGGTCATTCCACACTGGTGGCAGACATGGGCCACCTTTGAGTCAGGAAGGACATCCTCGGCCACAGCTTCTCCGTTCTCTAGAGCTTCCACATCCTGCTTGATAGCTTGGAGGAGATCTGCCTCTTGTGGATGAAAGCCACTGAGTTTGGGAACTGTTGCCACTTCCATGTCCTCAGCTGAGGGCAGGTGGCGCAGCTGATGGAGCTGGAACTCAGCCTCCTCCTCAAAACTCTCCCCACATCTGCTGCATGTGAGACCGCCCCCTTGTTCTCGGCCACGCATACGGGCAGCCCGCAAATGTACTCGCACATGATTCCGTAGCGCCATAAGGTTGGAATACTGTTTGGGGCAGATGGAGCACTGGAATATCCCTGTCTGGTGGGTGTGGCGGTGATTCACAAGACTGCCGCGGTGCCGGTAACTCCGGCCACAATCCCCACACCTGTAGGGCCGGTCTTCCTCTTCAATGTCTCTTTCCTCCTCTTCCTTCAGGCAGGAGACTCCTCTCCAGACATCTGGTGGCTGTGGACAGTAGTCTCTGTGATCTCCGGGGCTGTCCTCACCTTGATGCATGTCTGAAACAGCAGAAAGATGCTGGGATGCTTCCTCCATGGTAGATGAGCTGAGCTTGGACTTCAGGTGGACCCGCAAATGGTTCTTCAAGGCAGCCAAGTTGTAGAGCTGTTTCGAGCAGACGGTACAACTGTAGACTCCAATCTGGTGGCTCTTTTTGTGGTTGATGAGACTTCCAGCATGGCGGTAAGTCCTGCCACAGTCTTCACAGCGGAATGGCCGCTCCTCCAATAAGGAATATCCTTCCTCTCCTTTCAGACTTGCTTCCCAAGTGCCATTGGAGCCAGGGGCTGGTTGAGAGGGACCACTGCTTTCCTCCTCCTCTTCATCTGCCTCCTCTGGATAGAGACAACTATGTTCCTTCAGCTCCTCCTCATCAGCAAAAGTTCCACCGCAGCGAACACACAGCTCCCCATCTGGGTTGCAGCGTTCACCACCCCCTGCCTTGGAGGTGTCTTTGAGGCTGCATGGGGCACTGTCCCCTAGGTTTGTGCCTGCTGGGGGAGGTTGATAAATGTCCAGCTTGGCCAAGGTCTCTATGGAGTCCTCCTCCCAGATGTTGTGTTCAGAGCCTTCCCAAGCTGGCAGGCCGGTCATCTTGCTTTCATCCTGGTTGTGGGCCTTCTGGTGGCTCAACAGCTCCGAGGGGAGGCGGAAGGCCTTGTGGCAAAAGCGACACTTGTAGGGCCGATACTCTGAATGGAGACGAGTGTGACTCTTGAGTGCCATAAGGTTGGAGAAGGCCTTGAAGCACATGGCACACTGGTACACGCCCAATGTATGGCTCTGCTTGTGATTGGTCAGGCTGCCTGCATGCTTGTATGCCTTGTCACACTGGTTGCATTTGTAGCGCCGTTCCTCCTCTGTGGCCCTGAGCCCTCCAATCATGGCTGCCTCCTCTTCTTCACTCTGGTGCACTGGGAGCTGTTCCTCCTTCTCCTTTTCCACCTTGATTGGAAATCCCAGCTGAGAAAAGTCAGCAGGCACCACCGACTCAGCAATGTACTTCTCCAGGTTGGTCAGCAGGCTTCTGCTGCTGCCTTCCATCCCAGAATAGGCGTCGCCATCTGATGAAGACTTGTCCTGGACCTTCTGGAAGGTACAGCTGTCTCCATTACTTTCCTCCTCCTCCTGCTCCTGGTTGAGACGGGCCAAACAGCGGTGATTGGCCAGCTGGGAGGAAGTCCGGAATCCCCGCCCACAGTCCTGGCATTTGTGACGCTTCTCCTCCAGATGGGTGCGGAGATGGCTTTTGAGGGCCATGGGGTTGGAGAAGTCTTTACGGCATACCAGGCAGTGGAAGAGTCCCACCTCATGGGTGTGCCTGTGGTTCACTAGGCTGCCAGCATGGCGGTAGCTGCGTGGACACTGCTTACACTTGTAGGGACGTTCCTCCTGTCCAGCAGGCTGTTCGCAGGCCAGGGCAGCGTCCCCCTCGGCCATCGCTCACATCAGATGTCCTTTCTGCTCTCCCTCTTCTTCAAAGAGCAAGCTTGGGTCATTCCGAGGCAGAATGCCACCCCACTTCAAAGCTGTTGTTTCCTCTTCCGCAAATGTTCTAATGGCAGGACCTACAGACACAAAACAAGGACAATAAAGAAAAAGATCAGTACGTCTTATAGAAGGACTGAGTATCACTATGGGTAGAACTCTGTCCTACCCATGAATTTGCTTTTAAACTAGACCATATGTGTGCCCCTCTGTGAAAATGAGTTTGATACCCCTAAATTAGTTGTTGTGTGCCTTCAAGTCAATTCTGCCTTGGAGCCCCCAGTGGCGCAGTGGGTTAAAGCCCTGTTCCGGCAGGACTGAAGACCAACAGGTCGCAGGTTCGAATCTGGGGAGAGGCGGATGAGCTCCCTCTATCAGCTCCAGCTCCTCATGCGGGGACATGAGAGAAGCCTCCAACAAGGATGATAAAACATCAAAATCATGCGGGTGTCCCCTGGGCAACGTACTTGCAGACAGCCAATTCTCTCACAACAGGACGCTCCTGACACGACAAAAAAAATCTGCCTTATATCAACCCAATCACGGGGATTTATTTATTTATTTATTTAAAGCATTGATATTCCGCCCTTCTCACTCCGAAGGGGACTCAGGGCGGAGCACGGTATATATATGGCAAACATTCAATGCCGGGACACAAATTTATATACACGTACATAAACATTAAAAATATTTATCTCAATATTAAAATACACCATTTAAAACTGTCCTAGTCATTAGCGTCAAATCTAATTGGCCTGGTAATCTTTCCTATTGCTGCTTTATTGCCCTGTCCCGAAAGCTTGGTCCCACAACCAAGTTTTTACCATCCTTCTAAAGGACAGGAGAGAGGGGGCCAACCTGACCTCACCAGGAAGGGAGTTCCATAGGCAGGGAGCAATCACCGAGAAGGCCCTGTCTCTCGTCCCCACCAATCGCGCCTGTGACAATGGCAGGACGGAAAGCAGGGCCTCCCCAGAGGATCTTAATCTCTGCAATGGTTTTCTTGGCAAGATTTTCTTGGCAAGATTGGTTCAGAGGCATTTTACCTTTTATTTTCCTCTGAGCATGAGAGAATATGACTTTTTCAAAATAATTCAGGAAGTTTCTGTAGCCAAGGTGTGATTTGAACCCTGGTCTCCAGAGTCATGTTCCAACACTCAAACCATGCTGCCTCTCTCTATCAAAAATACCAGACAGAACATGATGTGACAAAATAGGGTGCCTGGACTCTGGCTCTCTGGATCAGTGAGGTGCGTGGGAAGCAACAGCCCTTTCCTCAAGAGAGGGTCTATCATGGAGATCAGTGGTTCCCAACTTTTTTTTGACCAGGGACCATTTGACCAGGGACCACTTTGCCCAGGGATCACTCTCCAACATTAGCACCAAAAGTGTTACAGATCAGTTTTTGGTAAACTTTAGATTCATTTCGGTTATTTGGGGTGCCGATTCAGAAAACTGCATTGGATAGATCACATCAGTTCTAGTTTTTGATATAGAATATATTCCATCAGTTTCTCAAGTCGCTCCTGACATGACAAAAAAAAAATCCAGTAGTTATCATCTGCTCACCCACAGAAACCTTATTTAATAATCCTCGGCACTATAAGAGGGTTTTGTGAGACCAGTTGCTCCCGTTGCAACAGTGTAGTAACGGTGAGGCCGCGGACCATATTTTAGTTCTTGTGGACCACTGGGGGTCCACGGACCATAGATTGGGAACCACTGACATAGATTGCGTGCATTGGGTTAAACATTGCCAGGGGCAAACTCGTCTGTCTCTCAACATTTTCCTTTTAAAAAACTTTCCCTCCCAGCCAAACAGACTTAAGACAATAGAGATTACTCTTGTGACAGGTTTGAATACAGCACTTGCAAATGGCTCTTTTCTCCCATCCATCCACAGTTCCACCTGCTCACTTCTGATTTTCACTGTGTAAAATTTCAGCATCTGACTTCTATGCATTATACTCAATTTTTTCCATGTAGCCCCTGGGTAAAACTGCTGCCGAACTTGCTGACCAAAAGGTCAGTGGTTCGAATCCAGGAGCAGGGTGAGCTCCCACTATTACCCCAGCTTCTGCAACCCAGCAGTTCAAAAATATGCAAATGTAAGATCAATAGGTACTGCTACGGCGGGAAGGTAACAGCGCTCCATACAGTCATGCCGGCCACATCGCCTCAGAGGTGCCAATGGACAACGCCAGCTCTTTGGCTTAGAAATGGAGATGAGCACCACCTCCCAGAGTCGGACATGACTAGATTTAATGTCAAGGGGAAACCTTTACCTTTATTTCATGGTAACATCTCTCAGAGGATAGTGTTCCTCTATTACAACAAAAACAAGAGACTCATAGAATATTCAAGACTGTATAGATGCATTGCAGATTGAACTTCTATGACCTTTAGCTTGCTTTGCTTGTACCACACAAGAGTGCATATGAATTAGTTATGTTTGTGCATATACATTTGAGCTAGAAAGTGCCCTATATCAAGTGCAGAAATTGTGTAGACTTTCAGATGTGGCTGAACTGCAACTCCCATCATTTCTTATCAAAGGCTTTGCTGGCTACAATGGCTGAGAGTTACAGTCCGACCATATCTGTAGGGCTCATGAAATGCCCACTCCTCGCAAACACACAGGCCACTAAGGTACTCTTTGCTGGTTTTGCTCAATCTACCCGCCTCTGCTCCAAGTTTAGACCCAGGGTGGATAGATACTCTGTAAATATGCCTTGGCATGGATCTCATAGCAAGAACGAATCTCCATGAGAGAAGTGGAAGTTGAACTTCTTAGTAAAGGGCTTTTATTAAAATGAATGGTGTGTATAATTTCAAAAAGTGGGGAACACGTGGTCTCCATATGTTGCTTAATTTCCACCTCACCTCAGATTGTGCTGACTAGGGTTTATGGGAACTGCAGTTCAAAAACAAAACAAAATCTGAGAGCCATGCGTTCCCACCACAGCATGTCAATGAATACTAGCTGTTTTTGGGGAGAAGGACAATGGGCAGATGCCACTGACTGTGCTTTGCTTGTGTGCTTCTTAGATGCACCTTTGTTCAATCTATATATATAAATTTGTTAGGGGCATCCAACGGAGAAACAAAACTCAAAAACCCCCCAACAAAACTTAACCAAAATTCCCATGCCCATAACACAACCCACAAGGTACAAACATATCTACTCAAAATGAAAAACAACACAACAACACACTCACAAAACGGCAAAACAACAAAACTCAAAAAAACCCAACGAAACGTAACCAAAATTCCCATGCCCATAACACAACCCACAAGGTACAAACATATCTACTCAAAATGAAAAACAACACAACAACACACTCACAAAACGGCAAAACAACAAAACTCAAAAACCCAACGAAACTTAACCAAAATTCCCATGCCCATAACACAACCCACAAGGTACAAACATATCTACTCAAAATGAAAAACAACACAACAACACACTCACAAAACGGCAAAAGGATAAAACTCTAAAAAAACCAACGAAACTTAACCAAAATTCCCATGCTCATAACACAACCCACAACGTACAAACATATTACTCAAAATGAAAAACAACACAACAACACACTCAAAAACGGCAAAAAAACAAAACTCAAAAAAACCCCAACGAAACTTAACCAAAATTCCCATGCCCATAACACAACCCACAAGGTACAAACATATCTACTCAAAATGAAAAACAACACAACAACACACTCACAAAATGGCAAAACAACTGAGCATGCGCATTGGCGCCCAGCCGCAAGTTCCCTGGCGCGCGCACATGGCCTTCTGGCCAACGTTCCCTCTGCGGAAACCATGCCCACTCCAAGCCCCGCCGCGCCACTTCCTGCACACACACACCCCCTGCCGCACACACACACGCAACCCCACGCTCCATCACTCCCCCCGCCGCCGCACACACACACGCAACCCCACTCCCCCGCCGCCGCACACACACACGCAACCCCACGCTCCATCACTCCCCCCGCCGCCGCACACACGAACCACGCTCCATCACTCCCCCGCCGCCGCACACCCCCACACACCCCCACCCCCCCGCCGCCGCACACACACACGCAACCCCACGCTCCATCACTCCCCTGCCCCAATCTTACCTCCTTTTACTTCACGCCACCTCCAAACCCCACCCGCCCCTTCCCGCCCTGTCAAAATCCAGGAAAGACAGGAAGGAAGGAAAGAAGGAAGAAAGAGAAAGGGAGGTAAAGAAAAAGGGGGAAGGAAGGAAAGTTAGAGAAAGAAGGAAGAAGAAAAGGAAAGAAAAGGAAAGAGGGAAGGAAAGAAAAGAGAGACAGCAGAAGAGAAAGAAAAAGGGGGAAGGAAGGAAAGAGGTAGAGAAGGAAGAAATGAGAGACGGAGGGAAAGAAAAAGGGGGAAGGAAGGAAGGAGAGAAGAAAAGGAAAAAAGGGAATGAAGGAAAGAAAGAGGGAGTGAAGGAAGGGGGAAGATGTAGAGAAAGAGGGAGGGAAGGAAAGAAGGAAAGAGAGAAGGAAGAAATGAGACCAGAAGAGAAAGAAAAAAGGGGAAGGAAGGAAGGAGAGAAGGAAAGAAAAAAGGGAATGAAGGAAGGAAAGAAGGAGTGAAGGAAGGGGGAAGATGTAGAGAAAGAGGGAGTGAAGGAAAGAAGGAAAGAGAGAAGGAAGAAAAGAGACCAGAAGAGAAAGAAAAAGGGGGAAGGAAGGAAAGAGATAGAGAAAGAAGAGGAGAAGGAAAGATGGGAGGGAGGGAAGGAAGGAAGGAAGGAAGGAAGGAGGGAAAGAAGGAGAGAAAGAGGGAAGATTGGCCACAGCAACACGTGGCGGGTAAAGGTTGTTATTTCTATTATTATTATTATGCTATTGTTCCTATGAGACCCTTTTAGGGGGAATGGGAGAGGTGTCAGGTCCCAGAGGCAATGCATTGCATTATTGTTATTGTTATGATGGTGGTGAAATAAAAGGAAATAAAAAGTGAAAGAAGGAAGCAAACAGGGAGGGAAGAAAGGCAAAGGAAGAAAGGAGGAAGTAATGAAGGAAAGAGAGAAGGATGAAACCAAGTAGTGAAAGAAGGAAAGAAAGAAAGAGGTAGAGAAGGAAGAAAGGAGAGAAAGGGGGAGGAAAAGGGGGAAGGAATAGGTAGGGACCTCTCTTTCATAATAGTCCAGATATCTACCTCAACTTTGATAAGTTTTACTATAGGCCACAGCAACGCGTGGCAGGGCACAGCTAGTGCTTCAATAAAGCTGCTCAAGATTCAGCCAAAATGTGAATACATTATGGAATTCATTGCTACAAGATGACAATATTAACTTGCTTAGATGCTTTTGGAAGGAGAGAGGTGAAACTAGTCTAATGGTGTAGTGGGAGTAGGCCAGAATGGGCCTAAATTTAGGTAGATCTTCAACTGGGAGTCATGTGTGTCTGATCTCTACCTAAGTGTGCTCTAACACAGCAATCCTCAAACTTTCCAATGTGAGGGAATGGCATTCCACCGATTCCCAAAAACACCCTGGACTTGGTAAAGGGATGCATTAGCAGGCATCTCTTTCCTTTCTGAAAACTCTTACAGTTCAGCAGCCAAAGGACTGTCATCAGTTCACAGATCATCCCTGTGAACACTATTTCTCTAACAAGTTTCTCTTTCTAATGCCTACAACTAGGTGGAGTCAATCTATGCCTCTCCAGATGTTGTTGGACCACAACTCCTATGACTTCTTGTCAGATGTCCAACTCTGTCACTCCTTCCCACCTGCTACTAAGGAGGCTGTCCAGGTCCTGAACCGGTGCTTGGCCGCTGTGATGGGTCTGGATGAGGGAGAACAAATTGAAATTGAATCCAGACAAGACAGAGGTACTCCTGGTCAGTCGCAAGGCCGAACAGGGCATAGGGTTACAGCCTGTGTTGTATGGGGTCACACTCCCCCTGAAGACGCAAGTTTGGAGCTTGGGTGTGATCCTGGACTCATTGCTGAGCCTGGAACCCCAGGTTTCGGTGGTGACCAAGGGAGCATTTGCACAGTTAAAACTTGTGCGCCAGCTGCGCCCATACCTTGGGAAGTCTGACTTGGCTACGGTAGTCCACGTTCTGGTTACATCCCGTATAGACTACTGCAACATGCTCTATGTGGGGTTACCTTTGAAGACTGTTCGGAAGTCTCAATTGGTCCAATGGCAGCCAGATTACTAACAGGAGCGGTGCTCAGGGAGCATACAACTCCGCTGTTTCGCCAGCTCTACTGGCTGCCAGTTTGCTACCGGGCAAAATTCAAACTGCTGGCTTTAGCCTATAAAGGCCTAAATGGTTCTGGCCCAACTTACTTGTCCGAACGCATCTCCCCTTATGAACCATCTAGGATGTTAAGATCGTCTGGGGAGGCCCTGCTCTCGACTCTGTCTGCCTCACAAATAGGTCTGGCAGGGACGAGAGACAGGGCCTTCTCAGTGGTGGCCCCTCGGCTATGGAACGCCCTTCCTAGGGACATTAGATCAGCTCCCTCCCTTCTGACTTTCCGAAAAAAAGTCAAAACCTGGCTGTTTGAGCAGGTGTTTGAAAAGGCAATGTAACGGACATAGGTATATGGAACAATCAGACTATGAGATCGGATTACGTTTTTATCTTGGAGACGAAATGATTTGCTTTTATTAATGTGTTATGGTCTTAATTGATATGTAAATACTTTTACATGTTTTTATGATATTGTTGGCATTGAACTGTTGCCTTGTGAACCGCCTCGAGTTGCCTGCGGGCTGAGAGGGGCGGTATAAAAATTTAGCAAATAAATAAAATAAATTAATTTGCAATGTTATCTAGGGCTGACGGGAGCTTTAGCACAACAGAAGACATAGCCAACTTTAACACTACCACAACAGAGATAAGATTAATAGCATCATTGTCATTTATGAGAGGAGGAGAGAGCTTTGTGATTTTGGCCTGGATTTGTTTTTCATTTCTAATATTCCAGCAAAGCACTTGAAAATGAATGTTACCTTTCTTTGTACGAATTTGTCTGGTGGGTTGAAAAAAACCCAGCAGTCTCTGCATAAATGAGTAAAGACAGCACTGAGATTGTGGATTTTGATTCTAAAGGTATTTATAAGAAGTGTTGGTTACTTACCTCTCAGATTATGCTGAGCATCCTTGGCAAACAGAAAATTTCTCTAACAGAAGTTGACTTAAATTTCTTTCTCCAAAAAGCAGGCATATGAAGTCATTAGTAACACACACATATATTGAGGAACAGAGGATTGTGAATGTCCTAAATCTGAACAGGTAGTTTCAAGAGTTCAAGTCATTATGAACATAGTCAGGATTTTCCATTTTTAAAAGGATCTCCAAAATTTTCTGCTTTCAGTTCAAAAATGTCACAAAAGTAATGGTCTAAAAAAATCAAGTCTGAAAAACACACAAGATCCCTGAGTGCGCAGAGTGGAAGGCAGATTTCAAAACTTCACAATGGGCCTGAATACAAAACTTAAAAATACAGGTAGAAAACTCCGACTGTCATCTCAAACAGTTGAAAGCAATGGAGGCCCCACAAGTGTAGAAATCAAAATATGATGTTATAAGAAACTGTGACTTCCAACAGAGGCAGTGCTTTGTAATGGACTTGAGGTCGAAATTATCTGGGAAGCATCACCTGTGACCTGTGTATGTTTCCACGAACGTATCAGAAATGCAAAAAACAATTGGATGTAGAAGGACACAGGGAGAGGCAGTGACCATCAATGGTACTTCATGAAAAGGATTAAGTCGAAAAAACAACGTTTCCAGGTTTAGAAATCAAAATATCATTTTGTAGGAGCGCCAACCGAAACTTCCAACAGAGGCAGTGCTTTGTGATGGGTTGGAGAGCCAAATGAACTTAAGAAGGAGCAGGTATTGTCTGTGATCTGTCTGTATTCCACTGAGGTGTCAAGAGACACAGAAGTAACCTGGACGAAGATGGGTGCAAAGAGAGAAGATGACCATCCAAGGTAGATGTAGGGCATCGATGGGACAGAAAGCGAAGTCTACTTCAGGCAGTGATTTTGGAAGCACTCAAACCCCGACGTCCATCAGAGGCAGTGCTTTGTGATGGGTTGGAGATCCAAATGAACTTAAGAAGGATTAGATATCATCTGCGATGTGTCTGTATTCCACTGAGGTGTCAGACACAGACAAAGGAGAGACTATGACCATCGAAGGTAGATGCTGGGCATCGATGGGACTTCAGGAAGAAACAGAAAGTGAAGTCTCCTTCAGAGTTCAAGCCATGTGTTGCCACTTCTGAGAGGCTCCAGTCCTGGAGAAGAAAGGGGCCTGGAGATCCAAATGAATTTAAGAAGGAGCAGATATTGTCTGTGATGTGTCTGTATTCCACTGAGGTGTCAGAGATGCAGAAGGGACGCAGACGAAGATGGACGCAAGCAGAGACTACGACCATCCAAGGTAGATGTAGGGCAGCGATGGGACTTCAGGAAGAAACAGAAAGCAAAGTCTCCTTCAGAGTTCAAGCCATGTGGTTCCACTTCTGAGAGTCTCCAGTCCTGGGGAAGAAAGGGGCCTGGAGATCCAAATGAACTTAAGAAGGAGCAGATAACGTCTGCGATGTGTCTGTATTCCACTGAGGTGTCAGAGATGCAGAAGGGACACAAGGAGAGACTACGACCATCCAAGGCAGATGTAGGGCAGTGATGGACTTCAGGAAGAAACGGAAATTGAAGTCTCCTTCAGAGTTCAAGCCATGTGGTCCCACTTCTGGGAGGCTCCAGTCCTGGGGAAGAAAGGGGCCTGGAGATCCAAATGAACTTAAGAATGAATAGATATTGTCTGTGATGTATCTGTATTCCACTGAGATGTCAAGAGATGCAGAAGGAACACGGACGAAGATGGACACAAGGAGAGACTACGACCATCCAAGGTAGATGTGGGGCAGCGATGGACTTCAGGAAGAAACGGAAAGCAAAGTCTCCTTCAGAGTTCAAGCCATGTGGTCCCACTTCTGGGAGGAAGAAAGGGGCCTGGAAATCCAAATGAACTTAAGAAGGAGCAGATATCGTCTGTGATGTGTCTGTATTCCACTGAGGTGTCAGAGATGCAGAAGGGACACAGACGAAGATGGACACAAGGAGAGACTACGACCATCCAACGTAGATGTAGGGCAGCGATGGGACTTCAAGAGGAAACAAAAAGCAAACTCTCCTTCAGAGTTCAAGCCATGTGGTCCCACTTCTGGGAGGCTCCAGTCCTGGGGAAAGAAGCCCCAGAGTCCACTCAGGCTCCAGCCCTGGGGTAGAGAGGGGAGACTGAGGCACCTCTTGAGGGAAGACACACCGGCTCTCTTCCTGGAGAAGAAGGGGTCGCTCACTTGGAGGCAAAGGAGGGCAAGGCAGCGAGCAGGCCCTTGCTACTCCCAGGAGGGCCTTCAGTGGCCCCCAAAGCCCTTCCTCACCGAAGCAGGAGGCTCCCTCTTGGAAGAAGTCCCAGAGACCAGGGCAACAACAAATACTTCCTTTTGTTGCTAGGAAACAGGAAATGCGCACCCGCCAAAGCGTTCCCCCTCCAGCCACAACGACGCTTCACTTCCGGTGTCACGCCCCAAAGAGGTCCCCTCCAACTCCCACAATTCCTAACAGCCTCAGGCCCTTTTCTTTTCCCCCTCAGCCGCTTAAGCGGCTGAGGGGGAAAAGAAAAGGGCCTGAGGCTGTTAGGAATTGTGGGAGTTGGAGTCCAAAACACCTGGAAGGCCATTTTTTTCCCGTGGAGCCTGTTTAAACTCAAAGCGGAAATCGTTCTATTAGTTTAGCTCTATGTTTTAGAAGCACTTCCGGTCTACCGCGCTACTGCTTTTCCCCAATGCAAAACATAGAACCGATTCGCCATAGAGTTCTCCAGTGCTCTCCAGTGCTAGAGCAGTACCGCTGTGTTCTAACAATAAGGGACACTGACAGCCACCGGAGTGAATCTACGATCGCCTCATAAGGAGCGGCTCCCAATATTCTTCCCAATAGCAACAGTTCCGCACTAAGTATAGTTCCGCATCCTTTCTAAACGCTTTTCCTCTGGAGATGTGTAGATTGCACATTTATATAGATAGGTGTAGAGCTGTTTATTTCCGTACTAGCTGTCCCCTTCCACGCGTTGCTGTGGCCCAGTCTGGTGATCTTGAAAATAAAGTAATGATAAAGTGTTGGTTTCTAATACATGTAAACTGTATTCCTTGGACGAACTCAGAGGGTGCTCACCAATGCTTCCTCTTCATCCTGGAAAGAAGTGACGAGCAGAGTGCCGCAGGGTTCTGTCCTGGGCCCGGTCCTGTTCAACATCTTTATTAATGACTTAGATGAAGGGTTAGAAGGCAGGATCATCAAGTTTGCAGACGACACCAAATTGGGAGGGAGAGCCAATACTCCAGAGGACAGGAGCAGGATTCAAAACGATCTTGACAGATTAGAGTTGTTGTTGTTGTTCATTCCTTCAGTCGTCTCCGACTCTTCGTGACCTCATGGACCAGCCCACGCCAGAGCTCCCTGTCGGCCGTCACCACCCCCAGCACCTTCAAGGTCAGTCCAGTCACTTCAAGGATGCCATCCATCCATCTTGCCCTTGGTCGGCCCCTCTTCCTTTTGCCTTCCACTTTCCCCAGCATAATTGTCTTCTCTAGGCTTTGCTGTCTCCTCATGATGTGGCCAAAGTACTTCAACTTTGTTTCTAGTATCCTTCCTTCCAGTGAGCATTCGGGCTTCATTTCCTGGAGGATGGACTGGTTGGATCTTCTCGCAGTCCAAGGCACTCTCAGAACTTTCCTCCAGCACCACAGCTCAAAAGCATCGATCTTCCTTCGCTCAGCCTTCCCTAAGGTCCAGCTCTCACATCCGTAGGTTACTACGGGGAATACCATTGCTTTGACTAGGCGGATCTTTGTTGCCAGTGTGATGTCTCTACTCTTTACTATTTTATCGAGATTGGACAAATACAAAGTCTGTCACGGCCTCCACGGTTTCTCCCTCTATTTTCCAGTTGTCAATCATTCTTGTTGCCATAATCTTGGTTTTTTTGTTAGCTGCAACCCGGCTTTTGCGCTTTCTTCTTTCACCTTGATTAGAAGGCTCCTCCGCTCCTCCTCGCTTTCGGCCATCAGAGTGGTGTCATCTGCATATCTGAGGTTGTTAATGTTTCTTCCAGCAATTTTCACCCCAGCTTTGCATTCATCAAGCCCCGCACATCGCATGATGTGTTCTGCATACAAGTTAAAAAGGTTGGGTGAGAGTATGCAGCCTTGCCGTACGCCTTTCCCAATCTTGAACCAGTCTGTTGTTCCGTGGTCAGTTCCGACTGTGGCTACTTGGTCCTTGTACAGATTCCTCAGGAGAGAGACAAGGTGGCTTGGTATGCCCATCCCACCAAGAACTTGCGACAGTTTATTATGATCCACACAGTCAAAGGCTTTAGAATAGTCAATGAAGCAGAAATAGATGTTTTTCTGAAACTCCCTGCCTTTCCATTATCCAGCGGATATTGGCAATCTGGTCTCTCGTTCCTCTGCCTTTTCTAAACCCAGCTTGAACATCTTGACAGATTAGAGGGATGGGCCAAAACTAACAAAATGAAGTTCAACAGTGACAAATGCAAGATACTCCACTTTGGCAGGAAAAACGAAATGCAAAGATACAGAATGGGGGATGCCTGGCTGAGAGCAGTACGTGTGAAAAAGATCTTGGAGTCCTTGTGGACAACAAGTTAAACATGAGCCAACAATGTGATGTGGCGGCAAAAAAAGCCAATGGGATTTTGGCCTGCATCAATAGGAGCATAGTGTCTAGATCTAGGGAAGTAATGCTATTCTGCCTTGGTTAGACCACACCTGGAATATTGTGTCCAATTCTGGGCACCACAATTCAAGAGAGACATTGACAAGCTGGAAAGTGTCCAGAGGAGGGAGACTCAAATGATCAAGGGTCTGGAGAACAAGCCCTATGAGGAGCGGCTTAGGGAACTGGGCATGTTTAGCCTGAAGAAGAGAAGGCTGAGAGGAGATATGATGCCATGTATAAATATGTGAGAGGAAGCCACAGGGAGGAGGGAGCAAGCTTGTTTTCTGCTTCTCTGGAGACTAGGACACAGAACAATGGCTTCAAACTACAAGAAAGGAGATTCCATCTGAACATGAGGAAGAACTTCCTGACTGTGAGAGCCGTTCAGCAGTGGAACTCTCTGCCCCGGAGTGTGGTGGAGGCTCCTTCTTTGGAAGCTTTTAAACAGAGCCTGGATGGCCATCTGTCAGGGGTGCTTTAAATGCAATATTCCTGCTTCTTGGCAGGGGGTTGGACTGGATGGCCCATGAGGTCTCTTCCAACTCTTTGATTCTATGATTCTTGTTGTTTCTTTGTCAGTGTTGATGTAGAGATTGTCTGGTTTACTTACTCTTGAACATGCAACATATAAGAGTGCTTCTTTTGGGGTCTCTTTCAAATCTATGATACTATATGTGTCATATACATATATGTGTGTGAATCATATATATCTAGCTATATCTATGGCTGGATGGCTCTTTGTCAGGAGGGCTTTGATTATGTTTTCTTGCTCTGGTGAAGAGAGTTGGACTGGATGGCCTTAAGGCAGCATTTCTCAACCTGGGAATCGGGACCCGTGGGTGGGTCACGCGGGGATGTCAGAAGGGTCGCCAAAGACCACCAGAAAAGACAGTATTTTCCGTTGATTATGGGCATTCTGTCTGGGAAGTTTGGCCCAATTCTATCGTTGGTGCTCTTTGATTGTAGGTGAACTATAAATCCCAGCAACTACAACTCTCAAATGACAACATCATTTTTTAAGTGATGTTGGGTTAGTCGGTGTCTTGTGGCCAAATTTGGTGGCAAGTAGTCCAGCGGTTTTTGAGTTATGACATCACTCAAAACAAACAGAGAATTAATCTATCTATCTATCTATCTATCTATCTATCTATCTATCTATCTATCTATCTATCTATTGACACAGTAAATAGCACTGCTGTCTGGGCCATCCTCCAAAAAATCGGGTGCCCTGACAAATTTGTGAACATCCTGCGGCTCCTCCATGATGACATGATGGTAACAGTCATGGACAACAATGCCTCCCAAAGTGACCCATTGAAGGTGGAATCGGGTGTCAAACAGGGATGTGTTATTGCCCCAACCTTATTTTACGCTATGATACTTCATCTTGTTGATAGAAAGCTTCCCACCAGAGTGGAAATCATCTATCAGACAGATGGCAAGCTATTCAACCTCAGCAGGCTGAAAGTCAAAACCAAGTTACAACAACATCTGTTATAGAACACCAATATGCTGATGATAAAGTCATCTGTGCACATTCAGAAGAAGACCTACAAGCCACTCTAAACACCTTCACAGAAGCTTGCAAGAAGCTCAGTCTTTCATTGAACATTGAGAAAACTAAAGTGCTCTTCCAGCAGTCACCAGCCAATCCGTCTGCAATGCCAGAAATACAGCTTAATGGCGTTACATTAGAAAATGTTGACCATTTCCGCTACCTTGGCAGCCACCTCTCCACAAAAGTCAACATTAACACTGAAATACAACACCGCCTGAGCTCTGCGTGTGCAGCATTCTTCCAAATGAAGCCCAGAGTGTTTGAGGACCGGGACATCCGTAAGGATACCAAGGTGCTTGTTTATAAAGCTATTGTCCTCCCAACTCGTGAAACATGAACTATCTATAGATATCACATACAACTCCTAGAATGATTCCATCAGCGTTGCCTCCGAAAAATCCTGCAAATCTCTAGGGAAGACAGGTGGACAAATGGAAGAAGCAAAGACCACCAGCATTGAAGTGATGGTCCTGCGCCATCAACTCCGCTGGACTGGCCACATTGTCCGGAGGCCACCGTCTCCCAAAGCCGTTGCTCTACTCCGAACTCAAGAACGGAAAACAGAATGTTGGTGAGCAGGAAAAGAGATTTAAAGATGGGCTCAAAGCCAACCTTAAAAACTCAGGCATAGACACTGAGGACTGGGAAGCCCTGGCCCTTGAGCACTTCAGCTGGAGGTCAGCTGTGATCAGCAGTGCTGTAGAATTTGAAGAGGCATGAATGGAAGGCGAAAGAGAGAAACATGCCAGAGGAAGGTGCACCAAGCCAACCCCAACCGGGACCACCTTTCACCTGGAAACCAATGCCCTCACTGCAGGAGAACATGCAGGTCATCGACCTTGACGGACAATCTTACTCAGACAATGAGGGATCGCCTAAGTAAGTAAGTAAGTAAGTAATTTATCTATAAATGATAAGATAGTTAAAATATTTTTAAATAAATTTTTATTAAGCTTTGGATTCAAAAACAGATCGAATTATAAAATGAATACATACAGATAACCAATGCAAATAAAAAGCGGGGGGGGGGGGGGGAGAAAAAGTAAGAAGTTATTTATTTATTTATTTATTTATGGCATTTCTATGCCGCCCTTCTCACCCTGAAGGGGACTCAGAGCGGCTTACAATATATATTTTCATACAATATATTACATTATTAACATAGTACAATATCAGTATTATATATTACTATATTGCACTATACCATTATATTTTAATATTATTAGTAATATTACATGTAATGTAAATATATAATTATTATTACTAGTATTATATTGTATTACATTATAATATTATAAATATTATTTGTTGTTCATTCGTTCGGTCATTTCTGACTCTTCGTGACTTCATGGACCAGTCCACGCCAGAGCTTCCTGTCAGTCGTCACCATCCCCAGCTCCTTCAAGGTCAAGCCAGTCACTTCATGGATACCAATCCATCCATCTTACCCTTGGTTGGCCCCTCTTCCTTTTCCTTCCATTTTCCCCAGCATCATTGTCTTCTCTAAGCTTTCCTTTCTTCTCATGATGTGGCCAAAGTACTTCATCTTGGCCTCTACTATTCTTCCCTCCAGTGAGCAGTCAGGCTTTATTTCTTGAAGTATGGACCTGTTGGATCTTCTCGCAGTCCAAGGCACTCTCAGAACTTTCTTCCAGCACCACAGTTCAAAAGCATCTATCTTCCTTCGCTCAGCCTTCCTTATGGTCCAGCTCTCACATCTGTAGGTGACTACGGGGAATACCATTGCTTTCATTATGCGGATCTTAGTTGCCAGTGTGATGGAACACATCTTGCCACGCTAAAAAAGTGGATGTGGCTCTTAATGAGACATGCTGCATTATCACGGGGTGTCTGCGCCCTACACCATTGGAGAAATTACACTGCTTAGCCGGCATTGCACCACCTGACATCCGCCGGGAAGTAGCAGCCAATAGTGAAAGGACCAAGGCAGAGACGTCTCCAGCGCATCCCTTGTTTGGGTATCAGCCAGCACATCAACAACTTAAATCAAGAAATAGTTTTCTAAGATCTACAGAGACACTCGGTGGAACACCTCAGCAAGCGAGAGTCCAAAAGTGGCAGGCTCAAACCCAGAAACTCAACCAATACCAAATGAGAGACTCCCTCCTGAGCACACAGAAAACTGGGCGACTTGGAAGGCGCTGAACAGACTGTGCTCTGGCACCACGAGACGCAGAGCCAACCTTCAGAAATGGGGATACAAAGTGGAATCCACAACATGCGAGTGTGGAGAAGAGCAACCTGAGCCCTGCTACATGCACAAAGGAGGACCTTCTTATAGTAACACCAGAGGCACTCCAAGTGGCCAGATACCGGTCAAAGGACATTTAATCAACTACCAAGCTTGCAAACTCTGTTTTGTCTGTTTGATAAAAATGTAATACAATTGTCTGATTGATACTGACACGATAAATAAATAAAATAACTCTTTTATTGAGATTGGTCATTGCTCTTCTCCCAAGAAATAAGTGTCTCCTGATTTCCTGGCTGTAGTCTGAGTCTGCAGTAATCTTTGCACCTAGAAATACAAATATTATATGTATATACAACATACTATATTATATGTATTGTCGAAGGCTTTCATGGCTGGAATCACTAGGTTCTTGTAGGTTTTTCGGGCTATAGGGCCATGTTCTAGAGGCATTTCTCCTGACGTTTCGCCTGCATCTATGGCAAGCATCCTCAGAGGTAGTGAGGTCTGTTGGAAATAGGAAATGGGTTTATATATCTGTGGAATGGCTGGGGTGGGGCAAAGAGCTCTCTGCTGAAGCTAGGTGTGAATGTTTCAGCTGACCACCTTCATTAGCATTTGAAGGCCTGGCTGAGCCTGGGAAAATGTTCTGTTGAGAGGTGTTAAGATGTGCCTGGTTGTTTCCTCTCTGCTGTTTTGTTGTGAACATGAAAGGCACTGCAGACTACTTCAACAGAGAAGTCAGCCATAGCAGAGCACCTGATGAACCAACCTGGACACAGCATATTATTTGAGAACACAGAAATGCTGGACCACTCCAACAACCACCATGTCAGACTACACAGAGAAGCCATTGAAATCCACAAGCATGTGGACAATTTCAACAGAAAGGAGGAGACCATGAAAATGAACAAAATCTGGCTATCAGTATTAAAAAAACTCTAAAATTACAACAACAAAACAGTAGAGAGGAAACAACCAGGCACATTTTAACACCTCTCAACAGAACATTTTCCCAGGCTCAGCCAGGCCTTCAAATGCTAATGAAGGTGGTCAGCTGAAACATTCACACCTAGCTCCAGCAGAGAAGAGCTCTTTGCCCCACCCCAGCATTCCACAGATATATAAACCCATTTTCCTATTTCCAACAGACCTCACTACCTCTGAGGATGCTTGCCATAGATGCAGGCGAAACGTCAGGAGAAATGCCTCTAGAACATGGCCCTATAGCCCGAAAAAACCCACAAGAACCTACTATATTATATTATTAGTATAATAATATAAGTAAAAAGATAGTTAAATATTTGAAAGCCAGCCCTGTGGACATTTTTGGATTATTGATCTATTTATTCCATTTACAGCCCGCTTTCCTTCCAGCTCTGTAATAGGATGCTCAATCTATAACAATGTTGCTGTTATAATCCTACATTGACACATTCTCCCATTGATTCCTACCCAGGCCGGCTTATATCAGTGAAACAATGCCACACTTCCGGTTTGTGCAGCCGTGAAACCCTTCCCTCGAGGGGGGCAACCTTTGCCACACTTCCGGTCCGTCCTTCAATTCTGTCCCCTCCTTTTATTCAGCCCCTTTCTTTAGCTCTCCCGGGGTTCCATTTGGACAAGCAGCTCTTCTCTTTCGCCTGGCAATAAACCATGGATTGGATTCTGAATTAACCCTTCTGGGTCCTAGCGCCCGCCCGTTGCGATGGAGAGGCAGAAGAAAGGCAGAGCCAATAGACAAAGGAAAAGGAAGGTAAGAGAAAATGGGAAATAAAGGCAAATGCGGGGGCGGGGGGGAGATTTCCTAAGGCGGAGTGGGATTCCTCGCCTTCTCTTTCCTGGGAAAAGTATTGACCTGATGTAGAAGCTATGCACCCTGAACCTGGCCCTTCCTTGCAGGGCTCTTTGCAGCCAAGCAGCAGCAGCAGGCGCCTCCCTGGTCCTAAAGACCGCCATTTTAAAGCCAGAGAATCTCTGCAGAGGGAAAGGGAGGCTTTGCCCAGCCTGGAAAGGATTGCATTGCCCATTATCCCCAGCCCAGAGGGATCCAGCCCTGGGGGAATCTCAGGCTTTGGTCTCCCTGAAAAGCAGCAGGAGGCTGAACCTGGGTTCAATAGGAGATCCCAGCCTCTTTCCTCTCTTTCTCCTCCCTGCCTTTTTGTCTCTTGGTCCTAGAGACAGCCATTTTGCTGGGCAGGGATCCATCTCTTTCTCTTTCCTCCTTTTTCTTTTGCCTGTCTGGACAAGACAGGAGAATCCATCCCTACAAAAGAATCCAGTTTATTTTGCTATACTTATACCTATATTTATCTCTCTGTGTATATAAATAGATAGATATATTATATATTTTAATCATATATATTAGATTATAATATTATATATATATATAATGTTATACTTTTATATTATAATTATATATTTATATTACATGTAATATTACTAATAATGTTACACTACAATTTATTATTTGTCGTGTCAGGGCAACCAGTCAATTATATTACATTTCTAACAGAACAAAGCAAACAAACAGACAAAATACAAAATTTGTGAGTTTGGTAGTTGATTAAATGCAATTGATTAAATGATTAAATGCAATCTATATTTATCTCTGTGTGTATATAAATAGATAGATATATTATATATTTTAATTATATATATTAGATTATAATATATTGTGTATATATAATTTTATATTTTTATATTATGATTATATATTTATATTACATGTAATATTACTAATAATATTACAATACAATGGTATAGTACAATATAGTAATGTTTAATACTGATATTGTGCTATGTTAATCTATATAAATAAAAATGTAATGTTCGTTTGTGGGATTAACATAACTCAAAAACCACTGAATGAATTGACATGAAATTTGGACACAATGCACCTAACAGTCCAACGAGTGTCCATCACCCATAAACACACACATGCACGCACACACACAAAGCCTCCAACCCTGGACACTCACTTGCCTAGTTTCCAACAGACTTCACAACCTCTGAGGATGCCTGCCATAGATGTGGGCAAAACGTCAGGAGGGAATGCTTCTGGAACATGGCCATACAGCCCGGAAAACTCACAACAACCCACAATTGTTGTTATTGGTGGAGTTCAGAATGCTCTTTGATTGTAGGTTAACCATAAATCCCAGCAACTACAACTCAGAAATGACAAAGTTCACCCCCAAACCCCACCAGTATTCAAATTTGGACCTATCATTATGTGCCAAATTTGGTCCAGTGAATGAAAATACATTTTCCATGTTAGATATTTACATTACGATTCATCACAAAATTACAGTTATGAAGTAGCAACGAAAATGATGTTATGGTTGTGGGTCACCACAACATGAGGAACTGCATTGAGGGGTTGCGGCATTAGGAATTTTGAGAAATTCTGGTATAGAGAATGAAAGCAAAGCAGGCATCTACCTTCATTCGGAGATTTAGATTCCGCAAATGTTTAGACAGTTTGCCCAGGTACTGCCAGGCCATCAAATGCTAATCAAGGTGGTCAGTTGAAACATTCACACCTAGCTGCAGCAGACAAGAGTTCTTTGTCCCACCCTGGTCATTCCACAGATATATAAACCCATTTTCCTAGTTCCAACAGACCTCACTACCTCTGAGGATACTGCATTGATGCAGGCGAAACGTCAGGAGAGAATGCCTCTAGACCATGGCCATATAGCCCGAAAAAACCTACAACAGCCCACTTTAGACAGTTTATTATTAATCACAAATTTTAAACCTGTGCATTTTGTTTGGTCTTTGTTCTGTATATTTCAATATGTCTTTTGTAAGACTATGTTTTAATAATTGTGGAATGTTTTTAGATGATTGTATCTGTTTCAGCAATACTATAACCCGCCACAAGCCATGAGGAGAGGCGAGTAAGAAATACAATTATTATTATTGGAAATATTCGTATTTATATCCTGCTTCTTCTCTTCTAATGGAGACTCAAACAGCTAACACTAAAAATCATCCAATAGATTGTCGAAGGCTTTCATGGCCGGAATCACTGGGTTGCTGTAGGTTTTTTCGGGCTATATGGCCATGTTCTAGAGGCATTCTCTCCTGACGTTTCGCCTGTATCTATGGCAAACATCCTCAGAGTTAGTGAGGATACTTGCTACCTCTGAGGATGCTTGCCATAGATGCAGGTGAAACGTCAGGAGAGAATGCCTCTAGAACATGGCCATATTGCCCGAAAAAACCTACAACAACCCAGACCCTAGATTTTTCCCCAAAGGTGAAGTAGGGAGAGACGTTTCCATATCCTTGGAAATTATTTATTGAGGGTGCAAGGAAAATTGACATAGTTAAGAATGATATGCACAGATCAGTTTATTGCAGCAACAGATTTGGTTGTGATGCATTTCCCTTCCTCCTCGAAATCTGAATAATGTGGATCTGTCTGGACAGGATTGTATAACGCAGCTCTTAAAGCGACTGTCATTTAAGAAAATGCTGAGCTGGTGCTTTGTGCAAGGAAAGGCGTTGTCAACAAGCCCTAAGGAGAAGCTATTGTGTTCCAATCTCAGATGTGTGTCAGCCAGCAAATATCTTACACTGTGTAATATGCACTCTGGACATGCTCAGAGGCTTTCTTGTAGGTTCAGTCCTGGAAATGAATTCCAGGACTGAAACTTAAACTCAAATGACACCTTTGGAAAGGAAAAGACTTTCTCTGCCGCCAGGATCTGTCCTGCTGCACCTCTCCAAACTCACTGTCTGTCTTTCCTTGCATGGTCTTAAAGCCAACCATTTTACGTCCCAGGGTTTTGGTTCATACAAAGCCAAATACGATTGGAAAACATCTTTGATTCCCTTTGTGTCATTCACGATTTCCATTAAGAGGAACTGGGGGGTAATTTTGTTTATATCAATCTCCAAATTTGTTCTGATTCCATCTCTCGCAGACGATGATCTCCTTCTCACTGGATCCTAAATCCATGTTGCAAGGAATATCGCCAAATCCATATCAAGCAAGCCAAATCTGTTATTGCTGAATGGAAGAGAAGGACTTTTCCCTTTTTCTCTCCTGGAATTTGAATTTTATTCCTATACTATACTTGGTGTTGCCTGGGTATGCATTTTCCAATGCTATTTATTAGAAATACCCATTGCTAGCTTTACAATTTTAGTAATGTGGATTACATTCCCAGCATCCTTACTAGCTGGACAGTCCATTTGGGATGCTGGGAACTAAGCTGCAAAAGAGATGGACGACATCGGATGACCGCCAAAGGGATTTCCCTAATGTGAAGAAGCAATTGCCACACAAAAACATACCTTGTCCACAATATGCATATAATTCAGTAGAGTATTTATTACTCCTACAATCACATATTATTGCAAAGCAGCCTCACGTGGCTAACCCTCTAAAAGGATCGACTGTACCTCTCATCAGCTTCAGCAAAAATGGATCTAGTGCCCTTAAGAGTTTATATTCGGGCATGCAAACCATTGCAGAAGGACCCCCACTCCTTACCTGCAAAACAGCAGGTGATAGTGAATCCTATTGGAAAGAAGGTCTCCTGGTCCAATAATACCGTAAAATTTTGCTGGAAGACCTAGAAAATTCCTGAAGAGGATGTATTTTGTGTTTGGATTCAACCCCACACTGTTCAAGTCTCAAGTCCTCAACGAGGAACAGTTTAGTTAGCTTAGTATAGACTAAGGGTTTCCCTTCACCCATGTCTCCTGAATGACAGTTGAGAATATATCTTTTTCATCTCTCATCTCTGTTTCTGTTCTCATTCTGATTATGTAAAATGAATACTTTTGTACTGTAAACTTTTTGAATCTGCCTTCTGCCTTCTTATATTTTAGTATGGAGAGCATGTGCTGTGTGCTTTGAGATCTCTCTCTGCTTGTGTGTCAGGAGAGATGTAGTGCTTGGATGGTTTTTCTCTCACTTGAAACCTCAGAAGAGATGGGTAACATCTCAGACCCGGTTCTTTAGCTATTAAGAAATGCAGTTATTTCTTATTATTGTAAATAAACCTATTGTGATTTTTAAGATTGGACTATGCATCTCACCCCCCCCCCCCCGGTGGCGCAGTGGGTTAAAGCACTTAGCTGCTGAGCTTGTTGACCAAAAGGTCGCAGGTTCGATTCCAGGGAACGGCGTGAGCTTCCGCTGTCAGCCCTAGCTTCTGCCAACCCAGCAGTTCGAAAACATGCAAATGTGAGTAGATCAATAGGTACCGCTCCGGCGGGAAGATAACGGCACTCCATGCGGTCATGCTGGCCACATGACCTTGGAGGTGTCTATGGACAACGCTGGCTCTTCGGATTAGAAACGGAGATGAGCACCACACCCCAGAGTCAGACATGACTGGACTTAATGTCAGGGGACAACCTTTACCTACCTATGTATCTTGTCTGCCTAAGCTCTGAATTCTTTACATCCACATCATATGGTATTTTACGCTCTGCTTGCTAATGTACTGATGTTCAACTATTGTATCATGCTTGATTTTTGGATGCTATATTTTAGGGTAGTTATGCTATATTTTAGGGTATCATGCTATATTTTAGTGTAGTTTCCCCTAACATTTTGGATTTAGATAGATGAACCCATGAATATTAGTCCTGCAGATATGGGAGGTTGTATTGAGCTACTCACTGCTTGAATTTAGAAGTGTTTAGGAAGCACAATTCAATTCCTGGTTAGGTAGTGAGACAATATTGGCCTGAGATCATTGGTAAGCTTCAGGATTGTGAGATACTAAAACCCATTCTTACTTAGAACTTGTTGTTCCAACTACTATGTAGTTTAATTCCCATGGCGTGACAACCTTGTGATATTGATTTCCATTTTTGTTTCAGGCAGAGTCCTCTTCCAAAATGGCTGAGGCAGGGGAAGAAGACTTTAATGTGAAGATAAAGCTGGAAGAGGAGGAGGATGCTGGCTACGTCCGGTCGGGTCGGCGCTATAAGTGCCTGACTTGCAGCAAGACCTTCCCCAGCGTCCCCCGAGTGTTACGTCACTTGGAGTCTCATGCAGCCAATACTGGTGACAGCTTGGCTAGCAAACTCACTTGCCCCAGTTGCCGAAAAGAGTTTCCAGACCGCAGCCAGCTCCGCAAGCACCAGCTGAGCCACCAGCCGGAGCGGCCCTACCAGTGCGAGCTGTGCGCCAAGGCCTACAAAACGGCCCCCGAGCTGCGCAACCATGGCCGCAGCCACAGTGGAGAGAAGCCGTTTGTGTGTCGTGAGTGTGGCAAGGCCTTCATGCAACCAGTCTGTCTGCGCGTCCACATGGCCCGGCACACGGGGGACCTACCCTTCCGTTGCCAGCAGTGCCACAAGGGGTATGGCACTCTCTCCAAGCTGAAGATCCACCAGCGCTCTCACACTGGTGAGAAGCCATATTCCTGTGGTGAGTGTGGTAAGCGTTTTGCCGACCCCTCGGTCTTCCGAAAGCACCGCCGCACCCACGCTGGCTTGCGTCCGTACCAGTGTGAGGTTTGCCGCAAGACCTACGCCGAGCTCAAAGACCTCAAGAACCATGAGCGCTCGCACACTGGCGAAAGGCCTTTCCTGTGTCAGGATTGTGGGAAGGCCTTCTCCCGATCTTCTTCCCTTGCCTGCCACCAGCGCATTCATGCTGCCCACAAGCCCTACCGCTGCAACCTCTGTGGCAAAGGCTTTACCCAGCTGTCCTCCTTCCAGAGCCACCAGCGCACGCACTCGGGGGAGAAGCCCTTCCTCTGTCCACAGTGTGGGCGCATGTTCAGCGACCCCTCCAGCTTCCGTCGGCACCAGCGGGCACACCAGGGCTTCAAGCCTTACACCTGCGACAAGTGCGGCAAGGCCTTCCGCCAGCCGGCCGACCTGGCCATGCACCAGCGCATCCACACGGGAGAAAGGCCTCATAAGTGCCCCCAGTGCGACAAGAGCTTTGTGGCCTCATGGGACCTCAAACGCCACTTGCTGGTTCACTCAGGGCAGCGCCCCCACCAGTGTGGGGAGTGTGGCAAGAGCTTTGCCGAGCGAGCCAGCCTCACCAAACACTACCGCGTCCACTCCGGCGAGCGGCCCTTCAAGTGTGGCCAATGCGGCAAGGCCTTTGTTGTCTCCTCCAGCCTCAGGAAACACGAGCGCACCCATGCCAACGAGAATAATAACGATGACAAATCTGCCCCCCTCGACCAACCCCAAGATCCCCCTGCCGACAGTGACCCTTCTACCATTGTTGTGGCCACTGTGGTGCCTGCTTGTGGGGAGTGTGGGGAGACGTTTTCTTCTACCCAAGACCTGCGCCGCCACGAGCGGCTGCTCCATCCTGGCTTGCGGCCCTTTCCATGCCCAGAATGCGGCAAAGGTTTCTCCGACCGGGCCGGTCTGCGTAAACACGAGCGGATCCATTCGGGGGTCCGGCCCCACGCCTGCCCACACTGTTCTAAAGCCTTCCTGGGTGCCTCTGATCTACGCAAGCACCTCAAGACCCACGTGGCCCAAGAAAACAGGGCTCCCGATGACACCATAGTAACAGCTACTATCATGACCTATGAGCCACTGCTCTCTGCGCACATCCACCAGCATTCCCATGATGAGCAGGTGGAAGCTGAGAAGGAGCCGCCCTCAGCCTGTCTTCCCGAAGCTCTCACCGAACCCTCTTAAGGTCTCACCACTGTCTGCAGTTTCCGTACATTTGACTGTGAGACATCAAGGTGGTTTGCTTCTTTCAAGGCACACTTGCCTTTCCAGCAGTTGCCTCCTCCCACATTATGTGCTGTGGGGTCTCCATTGGTGCCTCCCCCTTGGAATATGGCTCTTCCTACCCCCATCTCTATCATTTCTCGTTGGGGCACATTTGTTTCATAAGACCCACTTCTTAACTCGGATCCCCATTTGCTAGATTGGCTGCAACAAATATGCAAAACTTCAGACAAAAAAAACAAACAAGCTGGGCGAACTACATTTTTTAAAAATTGACCTGGCACCTCATTGGTCAATGAGGGGGCTCGAAGTATTGAGTGTGTACTTGTGTTTGTGTGTAAGTGTGTGCATGTCCATATGTATGCTTCTGCCGTCTGCTGGCCGTTATACCTCCTGCAGTAGGGCAAGTGTGCATCTCGTGATTTATTGGTTAAAAGAATGAATGCTGTGTGTGGTTTTAGGGGATACAAACAGAGGATAAAATTGGAAAGGGGAGGGAATGGGAATCTCCCCACTACACATCCTTTCCTTATACAGACAGTTATCTCTCTGGATCTGTCTCATGCTGCATCTGGTTGTATAAACAGAATGGAATTTTTTAAAACCTTGTTTTTTTATTAAAAAATTAAACACTTGCAGTCTTGTGTGACTTGTAATTTGTTTTTATGGAAAACTGAACACCCTCTAAAGCAATGTTTCTCCTCCTAGGGTTTGGGACCCTTGTGAGGTTCATGAGGAGGTGTCAGAGGGGTCACCAAAGACCATCAGAAAACATATATTTCTGATGGTTTTAGGAACTCCTTTGGCATTTTCCTGAGCATTGCTATATTCTTCAAGCTTTACTGTCTTCTCATGATGTGGCCAAAGTACTTCATCTTTGTCTCTAATGTCCTTCCCTCCAATGAGCAGTCAGGCTTTATTTCCTGGAGTATGGACTGGCTGGATCTTCTCATGGTCCAAGGTACTCTCAGAATTTTTCTCCAGCACCACAGTTCCTTCACTCAGCCTTCCTTATAGTCCAACTCTCACATCCATAGGTTACTACAGGGAATACCACTGCTTTAACTATGTGGATCTTGGTTGCCAGTGTGATGTCTCTACTCCTAACTGTTTTATTGGAAACAAATCAGGTTCAATCCTGATTAATACTGGGATGGAAGACTGACAATAGATACTTAGGGATGTATTTCATAGGAAGGAGCTTCCACCATGGCTTGAAAATATATATTATAAAAATATCCAATGGGAAACCTTGATTTTGTCCTTTTATATAAGAGACACCACTTTATTATGCTATTGTATATAATTGGACTTGAGCGTCTCCAAATATATTTATCTGTGGTGGTCTAGGAAGCTTTGCATAAGAAAACCCTGTAAGATACATCAGGTCACCATAAGCTGGCCCGATGTAATTTGAAGGTATATACACACTCACACAAGAGCTGAACATCCTATACCAGGCACCGGCAAACTTCAGCCCTCCAGGTGTTGGGAATTGTGGAAGTTGAAGTCCAAAACACCTGGAGGGCCAAAGTTTGCCCATGCCTGTCGTATACTCATCATCGTTCATTTATATTGATCTGTAATGAACCAGATAGTTCTATGTCTGGAGACTTTTAATCCTAACCTCTGGGGGACACCTTATGAATTACCATTGGCCAACACACATTTTGATGCTTCAAATATTAGCCCTGTTTCTGGATATGTTTGACCTGCCAATTCCAAAAATGGCACCAGATTTCCCCTATTCACCCTAGTTCTTGAGGTACAGGACGTATGGTCAGACTAGATGGCCCATGTGGTCTCTTCCAACTCTATTATTCTATGATTCTATCAGTTGCTATCTACTTACTCAGAGAAAATCGTGATAACCATATCTAAAAAATTATAGCTTATGTAGATTATCCTATGCAATGTTCTGAACCAGTGCTCCAAATAACCCCAGAAACAGGACTAAAAAACAATACACCAATAACTTGTTTTGGTTGGGCTTTGTAATACATATTTATGGTGGTGGCCCATGCATGGATGAGTTCAGCAACACCTGTTATCTGTAGAAAAGTAGATAGTCCCTTGGCATACTAGACATGGTGGAAACTCAGGTAGAAGGATGCTCTTGAAGAGAGAAAAAAATGCTGTTATTTGCCCTACAAAGAGGCCTTTCCTTGCTCACTTGTCCTTCATATCTTCTCAAGTGGTACAAAACAGCCATTATCTTCTCAGTGTTTTCTCTGGCCCACCATTTCCCTTCCCATATCACAGTTGATCATCACCTCCATTTCTAATGCTTCTTGTGGTGAGAAGTGTGAAAACAATAACACCCAGCACACAAGAGAGCTGTTTTATTATATTCCTATGGTTGAAAAACAAGGTTGACTCTCATGAGACAAACAGCTTATTCGGTATTGCCACGTGTGGAGCCTTTGTATGAAATATATACATCCAATTACAATGACAAAATGTCAGGACTATGAGGGATCACCTGAGTATACCAAACATGTGCTGTTCTATCTCAGGATGCATCTACATTGTAGAAACAATGTAGTTCAACAACATTTTGACAGCTATCAATCAATACTATGGAATTGTTGTTTAACATCTACATGAAGCCATTGGGTGAGATTATCTGGAGTTTTGGAGTTCGATGCCATCTGTATGCAGATGGTGTCCAAGTCTATTACTCCTTTCCACCAGATGCTAAGGAGGCTGTCCAGGTCGTGAACTGGTGCCTGGCCGCTGTGACAGTCTGGATGAGGGTGGACAAACTGAAGTTGAATCCTGACAAGACAGAGGTCCTCCTGGTCAGTTGCAAGGCCGAACAAGGTATAGGGTTACAGCCTATGCTTGATGGGGTTACACTCCCATTGAAGGCACAGGTTCATCGCTGAGCCTGGATCCTCAGGTTGCAGCGGTGGACAATTAAAACTTGTGCGCCAGCTGCAATCGTACCTTGGGAAGTCAGACTTGGCCATGGTGGTCCACGCTCTCGTTACATCCAGGATAGACTACTGCAATGCGTTCTACGTGGGGTTGCCTTTGAAGATGCTTCAGAAGCTTCAAATAGTCCAATGAGAGGCAGCCAGGTTAATAAATGGGGCGGCATACATGGAGCACACAACTCCCATTTTACGTCAGCTCCACTGGCTGCCTGTTTGCTACTGGGCACAATTCAAAGTGCTGGCTTTAGCCTATGAAGCCCAGTTTACCGTCTGAACATAACTCCCTTTATGAACCCCTGCAGAAACTAAGATCTTCTGGGGAGCCCCTGCTCTCGGTCCCGCCACCACCAAAGGTGCATTTGGCGGGGATGAGAGACAGGACCTTCTCAGTGATTGCCCCCCAGTTATGGAACTCCCTTCCTGGCAATATTAGATCAGCCCCCTCCCTCCTGTCTTTCAGAAGGATGGTGAAAACCTGTCTGTGGGACCAAGCCTTTGGGGCAGTGCAATGGGGCAAAATGGTGTCCGGAGATGGTTGTTAAGCAATTTTTAGTGTGAATATAAGTGATTTGAATGTTGGTATATATTTATGGTTTTATGTCCCGACATTGATTGTTTGCGGTATATATGTTGTGCTCAGCCCTGAGTCCCCTGCGGGATAAGAAGGGCGGAATATAAATCTTTTAAATAAATAAATAATCATTGGGAGTTTTAGTTTTATAAAGTCTTTAGCCTTCTCTGCCAAGTAGTGCTGGTGTCTCGCCAAACTACAGAGGCTATAATTCCATAGCATTGGGCCATGGCAGTTCAAGCAGTGTCAAACTGCATTAATTCTATACAGAAGTGGTTCTCAATCTATGGGTCCCCAGATGTTTTGGCCTTCAACACCTGGTAAACTGGCTGGGATTTCTGGGAGTTGTAGGCCAAAACACCTGGGGATCCATAGGTTGAGAACCACTGCTATAGAGGCACCCTTAGATCTGAGCAACAAGTGAATTGAACAGATTTGTTGGGGTCTAGAGATACCTGGTTCCCTCCAGGTATCTTGGACCAGAGCATTTCTTGGGCAGAAATGTGGGTCAATGCATCCAAAGAAATAGCCTATTAGTAGACGTGGAGGCTTTTGATGATCTTCTCCCCACATGTAATGTTTCCACTGATATCATCTAGTGTGCATCGCCCTCCAATATGTGAAAACCTCAGAATCACACATTCTATCCATTCTCAAGCTCCTTTGATCGTTGATGACGGAGATGTTACCTCTGAGGTTAGGTTTCTTTTTTCCCTCGTGACATCCTGTCTTTGGGGGAGTGGTTGAGTCACACAAAATATATACACATTTGGATTGGACTGTTTAAACTATCAAGCACATGCACACCGAGGCTTAAAATTTCCTTGTCTCCTGCAGCTGACAAAAGGTAGGCACATGAAGGAATATATTATTTTAGAAGAATTAAGATCAGGATGAATGAAATAAATAAATATAATCACTGGTAACAGTTTTTCTATTTGTGAGAACAGGGCGGAGGATTGGCAGTTTATGCAGGATACTGACACAGATCCAGGCAGTGGTGTTGTGGTTGTGCGTTTCATATCAACTGAGTTATGGTGGAGCCCCCAGTGGTGCAGTGGGTTAAACCTCTGTACCGGCAGGACGGAAGTCCAACAGGTCGCAGGTTCAAATCCAGGGAGTGTGCAGATGAGCTCCCTCTGTCAGCTCCAGCTCCCCATGAGGGGACATGAGAGAAGCCTCCCACAAGGATGATCAAAACATCTGGGCGTCCCCTGGGCAACGTCCTTGCAGAAAGACAATTATCTCACACCAGAAGCGACTTGCAGTTTCTCAAGTCACTACTGACACACAAGAAAAGAAAAAAAACCGGAGTTATGGTGATCCTATCATAGTTTCCTCAGCAAGGTTTGTTCAGAGGAGGTTTCCCATGCCGCCTCCTAAGGCTAAGAGAGCGTGACTTATCCAAGGTCTTCTGCTGAGTAAGATTTAAACCCAGAGTCCTAGTCCAATGCTCAAAACTACTACACTATACAGATTCTTTTATATGATGTAGACACAATATACAATTATGATGCTATGACTCCAAGAAACCCAGGGATTTCTAGTTGGGATTGGCAGACTTAGAAATACACACCCCCCCCAAAATTAACGGGGTCCTCTACTTGAGGAGAATAGGCTACACACCCTTCTCAATGCCCCACCAAACCGCAAATCAAAGCATTCTGTAGGACTTAACAACTTTTATCAGACAGCTATAATTGTGCAGTGAAAATACATCCTATTTGAACATCCTGCTCTTCTCTTAGCTTTCTTTCAGTGGATATCCCTCCAAACACTCATATTCAAAGTTAATTTCCAGAACCCAAAGACCTAGAACAGGGCTGTCAAACTCATTTTCATTGAGGGCCACATCAGCCTTATGTTGCCTTCAAAGGGCCATTGAATCCATGGGCTGAGAATCTGTGCATACAGAGGACCAACTATATAATCTTTTTACATAGTTGTTGGTGGTCTTTTGCTTTTACCCAGATGTTATAGAATGGCAACTCCCATTACTTTTGATTATCCTCCCTGTGGCGTGGGGATCATGGGAATTGCAACCCAACAGCACTTGTGGCTCTGAAGTTGGCGAAAGTTTAAAGGGCATTTTAAAGTTGGATATCATACCCACAAGCCTTGTGTCTAAGTTCAACCCACATTCTCCTTACTGAGCAGAACAAATTGTAGTCTTCCAGATGTTACAGTATCCCAACTCCCATCAGCACTAGCCATGATGTCTAATTATGAGGAATACGGGACTATTGCTCATAATCTGGAGGGCCACATAAAAATGTATTTATTTATTTACCATGCTTATACACTGCCTTTCCCAACCCCGTAGGGGACTCAAGGTGGCTTACACATATAGGCAATGATTCGATGCCATGTAAACATAACATACAAAAGTGTATTTGTCTGAACGGATCTCCCTCTACGTCCCACCTCGAAGCTTAAGATCTTCTGGGGAGGCCCTGCTCTCGACCCCGCCACTGTCACAAGTGAGGCTGGCGGGGACGAGGAGCAGGGCCTTCTCAGTAGTGGCCCCCCACCTGTAGAACTCACTCCCCGGGGAGATTAGATCGTCATCTTCCCTTTTGGCATTTAGGAAAAAACTGAAGACCTGGATCTGGGATCAAGACTTTGGTCATTCTGACAGCTAACTGAAGGATCTGATGATAGACAAGGACAAATGGAATGGAATGGATATATGGACTCTGAACCCTGAGCATGAGACTGTTTTTATTATTTTTATTATGTACTGATGTTTTTAATTAATTGTTGAATTGTTTGTATTTGTATTGCTTGTGAATTGTTTTGGGCATCTAATTGTGCCCCCACTGTAAGCCGCCCTGAGTCCCCCCCGGGGTGAGAAGGGCGGGGTATAAGTAAATGAAATAAATAAATAAATAAATAAATAACCATATACATCAAAAGAGCCATTAAAAGCATAGCAAACATTAAAACACACATCTCACATTATTCAAAACCACAATCCATGGCTGTTCTAAATTGTTATTGCACCATTCCATATTCTCTAGTGCAGTGTTTCTCAACCTGAGGGTCGGGACCCCAGGGGGGGGGGTTGTGAGTGGGTGTCAGGGGGGTCGCCAAAGACCATCAGAAAACACAGTATTTTTTGTTCGTCATGGGGGTTCTGTGTGGGAAGTTTGGCCCAATTTTATCATTGGTGGGGTTCAGAATGCTTCAGGTGAACTATAAATCCCAGGAACTACAACTTCCAAATGTCAAGTCTCTTTTCCCCAAACTCCACCAGTGTCCACATTATTGAGTATTAATGCCAAGTTTGATCCAGATCCATCATTGTTTGCGTCCACAGTGTTCTTTGGATGTAGGTGAACTACAAATCCAAAACTCAAGGTCAATGTCCACCAAACCGTTCCAGTATTTTCTCTTGGTCATGGGAGCTCTGCTTTCCAAGTTTGGTTCAACTCTATTGTTTGTGGAGTTCAGAATGCTTTGATTTTAGGTGAACTATAAATCTCAGCAAATACAACTCCCAAATGACAAAATAATCCACCCGCCCCCCCCCCCCCCAATATTAAAATTTGGGTGTATTGGGTATTTGTGCCAAATTTGGTCCAGGAAATGAAAATACATCCTGCATATCAGATATTTACATTACGATTCATAACAGTAGCAAAATTACAGTTATGAAGTAGCAACAAAAATAGTTTTATGGTTGGGGGTCACCACAACATATGGGGAACTGTATCCAGGGATCGCAGCATTAGGAAGGTTGAGAACCACTGCTCTAGTGGGTTGCTAACCAAACTCTTGATCCCACATCCACATCTTTAGCCTTTTTCCTCAAGATCAGGAGGGAGGGGCTGATCTGAGTTCATTAGGGAGTTCCATAGCTGAGAGGCCACCACTGAGAAGACCCTGTCTCTCATTCCCACCAACCGCACCTGTGCAGGAGGTGGGACCAAGAGCAGGGCCACATCTGGAAGGCCATATAAAATGGCATAATGGGATGGATTCAGGCAGCGTATAAATCCAGGCTTGGTTCCTTAACCATTCCTTTCTCACTCTCCCTTTCTTTTCGTGCAGGGCCAGCCATGCTCAAAATGAACCCTACCTCTGCTGCTGCTGTGCATTTTCTCCTCCTCCTCTTTTGCACCTGTGTCTCTCCACAATGCAGGACAGCCACGGAGGATGAATGCCAGGATCCTCAGGATTTTGTGCCGGGCCACGGCTTGGCTGGTGTGGGGTTTGATATAACAAAGCTAGAGCGGAAGGCGGCCAAGGTATTGGATATGAGTAAATGGCAGAAAGAAGACGGAACTTGCACCTTGTGCCAGAACCCGTTGTTGGACGGAAAACCGCTCCAGAGGCTCCCTCTGGCCATTGCCGACTGGGAAGCCAAAGTGGAGTGCCAAAAGAACCTCCGCTCCTCGATACAGGTCTCTGGCATCTCTGTCATCCAGGGAGCAGGATCGAATGTGAACAACGACTGGAAAGTCGGGCTGGATGTTCAGGTGAAGCCACAGACAAATGTCCAAGTGGCTTTGGCCGGCTCCCATTCCAAGATTGCTGACTTCAGCATGGAGAAAAGTTCACAGGACCAGTACACCTTTGTTAGCCACGAAGTGTCTTGCTCCTACTACAGGTGATGAAATCAGGTGGTGGAAAAAATGGGGAGCAGTAGAGTTGATAGTAGGAGGATCCTGGAGATCTATAGCCAACAGGGAGCTCTCATGTTTCTAAGAGACCATCCACACTATAAACTAGCTTGTCTGTCTGAATGAATCTCCCCTTATGAACCATCTAGGACTTTAAGATCATCTGAGGAGGCCCTGCTCTCAGTCCCGCCTCCGTCTCAGATGAGCTTGGCGGGAACAAGAGACAGGGCCTTCTCAGAGGTGGCCCCTTGGCTGTGGAATACCCTTCCTAGGGATATTAGATCGCCCTCCTTCCTCTTAACATTTTGCAAAAAGGTTAAATCCTGGCTTTTTGAGCAGGCATTTGCAAATTCAATGTAGCAGGCAATGACAGACCACGGAATGACTGACAATGTGATTGAATAGTGATTTCAGTAAGGATATGTTAAGGCTGTATGATTTTATTGACTTTTTTATGAAACTATATTTTATATGCTATGTTTTTAATTGTATTTTATATGTTGGGGGCCGAGTGTAAACCGCCTTGAGTCACCTTCAGGCTGAGAAAGGTGGCATATAAATGCGGTAAATAAATAAATAAATATTTTGCCACCACTTTATTGGCATGGCTCCCTCCTTATAGAATTCTTCTATATTGTAATAGTAATAACAAAAGCTTGGAAATGAGCAAACCAAAAATCCTGGTCTAGTCAAACCTATGGTCTGATTTCACAAGCCATCCTTATGCCCTTATCAAACAATTCTCATGCTATGATATCTCCAAGAGTGCACCCATTCAGTAAAATTAATGCAGTTTGACATCACTTCTATCTGCAGTAGCTCAACTATGGAATTATATCTTATGGTTTTACAAGTTGTTAGCCTTTTCTACCAGAATGCGGGTGCCTCACCAAACTACAACTCCCAGGGTACCATAGCACTGAGCCATGACAGTTAAAGTGATGGCAAGCTGTCTTAATTCTGCATTGTAGAAGCACCCCAAAGCAGGGCTGTGAAGGGAAATACAATAATAATAAGCATTCTAATACTGATCTGGGACTCTGGGTGGTCTTGTATTTCTTTTGTAGCCTCCGCGTTGGCCACCGTCGGAAGCTCACGGAGCATTTCACACATGCCCTAAAGAATCTTCCTCCCAAATACAACCATGGCACTCGGCTGGAATACCGCCAACTGATTGGCACCTATGGGACCCATTGGATCACCCATCTTCGCTTGGGAGGACGGATGAAAGATGTGACGGCAACGCGGGTGTGCGAGACGGTGCTGGATGGGGTGACAGCTGATGAGGTCAAAGACTGCCTCAGCCTCGAGGCATCTGCCAGTATCGGCAATTCAAAGGCAGATGCCAGCTACAAAACGTGTCAAGAGCTGAAGAAGAAGCAGAACTTCAAGGGCAGTTTCCACAACACATACAAAGAGCGGCACACGGAGGTTGTGGGTGGCAAGAGTCACATGGACCTGCTCTTCTCCAGTGACCAAAACACAGAGTCCTTCAAAGAGTGGTTAGAAGGCCTCAAGTCTCTGCCCGACTTGCTCTCCTACTCCCTGGAGCCCATCCATACCTTGGTGCCCAAGGACCACCCTCAGAGGGAGACCCTGCGGCAAGCAGTAAGTGAGTATGTGACCGAGAGGGTTCTCTGGAGGAACTGCACCCATCCTTGCCCACCAGAAACAACCCGCAGTCCCCGAGACCCCTGTTCCTGTGTGTGTCACAGCAACGGTCTCACCGACTCCATGTGTTGCTCTCGGAAACGAGGCCAAGGTAAGCTGACGGTGACAATTCAACGTGCCCATAACCTGTGGGGAGACGACATTACTAGCACTGATGCCTATGTTAAGGTGTTCTACCAAAGAAAGCAGAGTCAAACATCCACCATATGGAACAACAACAACCCAATATGGAAGAGCCACTTTGACTTAGGCATCGTCCAGGTCTTGGGAGAGACCAGCAAGCTTAAAATACAAGTCTGGGATGAAGACCATCGATATGATGATGATCTTTTGGGGTCATGTGATTTCACCTTGCAGGCTGGGAAACCAGTGAGCACTGTTTGTTATCTTAAACATGGGAGTCTGCTTTTCCAGTACCACCTGGTCTGTGGTCCCTACCTAGGTGGTCCCTACTGTTTGGATTATGCCCCTCAGCAGCCAAAATACGCAGGTGCCTTGTTACAACGTAAAGGCAAAACAGACCCCGTAACACCAAGAGCCCCCTGATAGGGTTTATTTTTCTTTTTCTCTCTCACACTAGATATGTTCAAACTTGGAAAATTTCTAGCTATTTCATAGCTATGACACAATTTGAAAAGGTTAGAAGTGCCAATGCTGGATAAGAACTTTTGGGAGATACGGTCCAGAAAAATGACTTTCCCAAGCTTTGCTATTTGTCTTTGTAATAGAATTCATCTCCTTTTCCCTAAACTACAGAGAGCTGCTGTCCATCCCACAAAGTTTATGCCAGAAGAAAAATGTCATTTTTTATGTTGTCCCAGAAGCCTTTCATCATTAGTTGGTGTGCATACCACTCATACAAATAAATGCAAAGAGATTTCCTTTCTGTATTAAATATATATACGTTGCAGAAATAAAAGTGAATATTGACGCAGTTGGTATTGTTATTCAAAACGTTTTTACACAGGGTGCTGCCTACTCCCTAATATTTAAGAAATAGAAACTAGGACTTGTGTGGTCAAGCAACTTCAGAGTGCAACCAGGCAAAGAGTGAACAAAAAATATTAATGTGGGAGAATACACACGTCTTATTCTTAAGCAGCCATTGAGATTCCCATGGAATCATTGTAGCTTCCATAATGACAGTTCTATGATTTATGGCTATGTCCCAGTCCATGAGATGCTTTCCTAATCCTTCCTCTGCCCTACATCTTTCATGGACATGGCTATGTAAGTGTTTCTTTAAGTCCCAGGAGCAGAGGACTCTTGGTTATTGCAGAAGGATCCCCAGCTCAGTATATATGTTGATTAAGATAATACAAATTCTCTGAATGTCAGTTGTGAATGGCAGGATATTAATTTTGAACGGGAGCCCCCGGTAGCACAGTGGGTTAAACCCCTGTGCCGGCAGGACTGAAGACCGACAGGTCGCAGGTTCGAATCTGGGGAGAGGCGGATGAGCTCTCTCTATCAGCTCCAGCTCCTCATATGGGGACATGAGAGAAGCCTCCCACAAGAATGATAAAAACATCAAATCATCCGGGCATCCCCTGGGCAATGTCCTTACAGACGGCCAATTCTCTCACACCAGAAGCGACTTGCAGTTTCTCAAGTCGCTCCTGACACGACCAAAATTTTGAACAGAAACTGCGTATTACACCACTGAATATTTGGTACAGTAATTTTCAGCCGCACGTGTCAAATTGAGACCAACCAGCCTACGTTACAGTTCAGACCCCTGTGTTTTTCCTGTAAGACCTGCTCAAGCAGGAAGTAGGGAGAGATAGAAAAGCAACTGTGAGTCAGATAAACCAGTGGAAGAAACCACTTTTCCCACAAACCCTAAAACAGAAGCAAAGGAAAAAGGTCAAAGAAGAGAACTCATGGTTTCGCTTTCTTCTCCAGACAGCTCTCCTATCTAGTGGTCAGTTGCAGACTCTGAGAAGCAACTAGTAACACAAATAATTTTGACTTCTATCACAACTTCTCTTAATTTAATTAGGCCTTTGGGCATTTATAGTCATATATGTTCCTAGCCCCTCTGTCTATAAACAAAGAGGTTAAAATGAATTGTAGAATCACAGAAATGTAGAGTTGGAAAAGAGCACAAGGGCCATCCAATTCACATTCTGCCATGAAGAAATGCACTATCAAAGCACTCCTGGCAGATGGCCATCCAGTCTGTTTAAAATCCTCCAAAGTAGGAGAGTCCACCAAATATAATGCTTTATAGAGAACAAGTGATAATTTGAGGGGAGTAGAAGAAAATACTTCTACAAACCAGAATTTTACAAACCAAACTGGGATGCAAATATGCTAATAGCACTTGCAAATGCTCATCATTAAAATATATACACTATAAGCTAAACATTTCATTCCATAAAAACTAATTTCAGAAATAATTCATTTTTAGGACTGTTAAGGTTATTGGTAAGAGATGCATGTTGTTCAGTAGTCAGCAGAAAAAGACTGCAGCTCTTATATGGTGATTTTTTAAAATTTAGCACAGCTTCCCTTCTGAATCTATCCTTTGATCTCATCTATTCCCCAGATATGAAGTCTTAGAGCCTAATCTAACTGCAAAGCTGACTTCTCTGCAGCAAAAATACAGGTATTTGCCTGAATGAGTATGTAAAACTAAGGAAGTATTTGCCTATTCCAAGGTACAACTGTAGCTTCTTCACAAATTTCATCTAGCAGTATCTACCTTCTCTTTGCATTCATCACAGAGTCCAGCCGAGTAACCCAGGTATCCTGCAGAACATCTCTCTTGCTACTGCTGGGATTAGGCATTCAAATTTATACACCTTTGGAAATTTGGTTTAAGAAGAAATTGAGACCTTCGTATCTTTCAAAAAATGTCATTTGAGATATGATTTTACCTTGAGAATAAAGTACTCACACAAGGATTTCACCCCAAAGTGAAAGAATGAGAGGGCAGGGGAAAATAATCGTGCAATTTTGAAACTACAGTTTCTATTTTAAGTTGGGAAAATATTTGTATTTGAAGAAGCTCACTAGACGTACCAAACCAGAGTTGACTCTCTCATCACAAAGGAGCCTCACCACCTCCTGTCTCCTGGTTTCAACTGAAAGGTTTTCAGGGCTGAAGGTACAATGGCAACGAGTCTTATGGGCAACAAAGAGACCACTGCTTTGCAGACTGCTTTTCTTAAAAAGTGCTTTTATTTTTATATTACAAAATAATTTGAGTCAGGCTGCTTTCAGTACATTCAATCTCCAAGGCAACTGGAACACTTTGCTCAAAGCTCTGATTTATACAAGTCATTTTCAAAATAGTAAAATATCAGATTTTCAGGAACAGGACCAAAAGCTCCTGGTTTCCATTTCCTCCATGATTTTCCTACCCGATTCAGTTAAGCACTACAGACAGGCAAAACCCTGATGTCATAAGTAGCTCAATATCACTGCCTCCCTTAAGACTGTAATTCCATTTAGTCCTTTGGACCTACTTTCAAACCAACTCATCCAAAGTCTGCATTCAGGTTCTGTGAGAAGGGAACAATTAAATTCATGCAGCTTTGTCTGAATCCTTTCCAGGTTGGCACTGCGATATCCATCCATTCATTGTAAGGGGAGGGGGAGAGATCCAGAAGACCATGATATAATAAATAGTCTCATGAAAGGGTGAGAATTTACAATTCCTAAGGCACATACGACATGAGAACACCAAAAGGCAGTACAATACAGCTTGGCAAAAACTGTCTCAATCACAACAGACCAAACATCTGTTAAGAGCTATTGATGGAAGCCAAGGACTCCTTCAAAATCCCAATTAACAAACTCTAGAAGAAGGCAATAGGGTGAGAATAATCAGATTCAGTTCCCATCTGCCTTCCTCATAACTGGGTGAAAATGGTAGAGATCTCACCAACCGAGTTCTGAAAGATATTCACCTGGCCCTTTGCTTTCTTGTGAAGACCTTCAACATTCCATGTGGAAAGTGATATCGTGTGAAAGGGAAATGCAATACAAATATAGCAGGAGAAGAAGTTGCCTGAAGTATTGACCAAAAAAAAATTGAATACAACAGCCACCATGATAAGGAAGGGAGGTGTGGGTTTGCTCAAGATGAAAAACAGCCTTGAATTAACAGGAAGAAAAAAAAGAGGAATCTTTAAATGAAATGGCCCGAACAGGAAATATCCATTTTCATGCAGATGAAAAAGTCACAGAATGTATTAGGGGAGGAATACACAAGCATTCAATAATGTTACAAACCAGCAAAAATAACCACACATTTAGGAAGGCCAAAAGCTCAGACGGCAAAGGCCTTGCTCTAGATTTTTAGTTACAGGCGGCTCTGGATATAGGAAAGGGAGGGAGGGACTTTGTGGCCAACAGAAAGGAGACAGCCACAGGCAGCATGTGGTTTCATGACTGGAAAAGAGAAAATGACATCTCCACCAGCCATCTTTCAGTGCAATTGCTCTCTATCAGGGGGCTGCAGTTCCAGAATGGAGATTAAGTCAGAGAGGAAGCCTGAGGAGAAAAAAACCAAAATGTCAAATTCCAGGGTCCAATTGTGTTTCTCCAGATCCCAACCAAGGGGCCGCATCTAAGCAAATCTCCCTCAGTTCTATCTAATCTGCTTTGTAATTCAATCAACAATTTAAAAAATCTTCAGTATCCTTGCAAAAGGTACCTGGGAATGCCTGACTTGTTTAAGGCATAATCTCTGGCTGCTTGTAACATCAGAAACAGCTAAAACTTATTAAGCCTCAGCCTGTATAGCAGAGAAGTAGGCATCTCCCCAGGATCATTGGGGATCCCAAGGGCTCCAAATGTTTTCCAATGTTTTTGAATCAATATATGCACGAAAGCATGGGAGCAATACTACCATGTTTGTGGTGCATTTTAAGCTCAGGAGAACTCTTTTTGGGAAAGAATTAGTAAATGACTTCTTATTTACTTCCCTTTGTAAAAAGAGGCTTTTCTTGGGTCTAAAAAGGGGTGCAAACATGAGGCAAAATGTCTCCCAGATCTCATAGAAAGCATCTGGGGGCAAAACAGACACATGACTTTGTTTTTACTTTGGGGCACACCAGAAATGTGACCCTCGAAAGTCTCCTGGAGGGGCAAAGTAGACCCTTAATTTCTAATAATTATCCACTCTGGTATGACAGGAGCTGGAAGCTGTTGCAAAAACAGTACAATGCATCATTTAGTAAAATCTGGATTCCCACTTGCTCTTCTCCACTGCTTAGGTGAAGCACTTCAGAGGATAAACTCCCCAAAGCCCCAACTTGCCTGGTTAACAGACTTCTATTGAGCCTTGCTTAGTGGACTGAGCCTGATCCAGACCTGTCTCTATGTTCCCACACCCTTCCCTTATCCATACGTACCATCAGGCTCCAACAATGCAGCATGAAGGGAGAGACAACTCTGCGAGCCCCATCTAGCCAACCGCAATCAATACGCCTACAATGGTGATGATGATAGCTAGTGTGATCGTCAGACAGATGGCAATCATGAACTTCTTCTGCAGAACCAGAGAACAGGCAAACAAAGTGTTAGGTGATCTAAGAACTTTTAGCCCTTGCTAGATTTTTTTTTTCTTGTTCTGCAAGCTATAGGGAAGAATAAGGAGCTATGGAAACCAATGTAAAACTTTGAACTTCAACACTGTTCCCACCAACATCTGTATTACTCCATCAAGCACTATCCACCATCTTAAGTATCTCAATGGAACAAAAATGGCATAAAAGTTGTTACACCTTGAGTATACATTTTTAGAATACTGAGTGAAACACTTATATGACACAACTCTTGGAAAACACAATGAAATTAACATCTCTTTCAATCGAAGGAAAAAGCAGTCTGTAGCTCATCCTGGTAACTTACCCTGCGAGCTTTCTTCTGGTTCTCCTGGGCCTTAAAAAGGTGCACTTGGCCTTTCTTGACATAGTCCTCCGAATCAAGGATATTCTTCTCTATTCTGTCAATCATTTCTCCCTACAAGCAGGGAAATGATTGGGTTGAGGTAAGGAGAAACTTCTAAATGAAGGGAGGAATTCACAAAAAAACTAACTCTGAAGCAAGAACACAAGGGCCAGGGAAAAAAAAGGGGACTAAGAGGCTCCATCACAGGCAGGAAGGAGATAGGGTTGTTGGGTTTGTGTAGGGCCACTTGGGTGAAGAGAGACAACAAGGTGAAATAAATCATGATTAATTGAATACAGAATAGGAGAAAAACAAAGACTACACATGCACAGTAGCTCCATAGTACATATGAACCTTGAATTCTACTGACTCCAATAAGGAAGAAGAGTCCCCACTCCATTACTATTAGTAAGAAGTGCCAAGGAAGTACACGGAAGTTAGTAGACAACTGTAGTGATTGATATAAGGAGGCTGATAGGAATTGAGAGGGCATCTAAACTGTAGAATTAACACAGTTTGACACATCTTTAACTGCCATGATGCAACACCATGGAATTCTAGGATTTGTAGTTTTGAGAGCCACTAATACTCTTTGGCAGAGAAGGCTAAAGGCCTCAGAAAATTAAGAAAGCCATGATTCCATAGCATCGAGTCTTGGCAATTAAAGTGTTGTCAAACTGCTTTCATTTTACAATGCCAATGCACCCTACATCAGATTCACCATAGACCAATTGGAAAACATGGCAAAGTATTATAATAAGCAGCTATCATTATGGATAACCCACATCTTGAAACAATATAAAAATTAAACAGAGGCTTGGTGGCCATCTATCAGGAGTACTTTGATTGTGCATTTCTTGCATGGCAGGAGGTTGGACTGGATGGCCCTCTTCAAACTCTTATGATTCTAATAATATTGATTTTGGATTGTATCTTGGTGTTTGTGCAGTAATTCTTACATTGTTTTAAGATGAGGATGCACTCTAGATACACTCAGGGACAAAAAAAAGGGGAGGGGGTCAAGCTGGCCCTTTCTCATCCAATAAGGGAGTGGGGGAAGTGGTTTTGCATGCAAAAAGTTATTGGGCTCAATCCCCAGCATTATCAGGTAAGGCTGGAAAAGACCCTTGCCTGGAAGTCTAGAGATCTGCTATCTATTACAGTATGTAATACTAATCTCAATAGTTCAGCCTGGTTCCTATACTTGTAATCCCCTTTGTCCCCCCTCTCCCCAAAATCATACCTGCAGTTCTACTTCTGTGGCCAAGTACATGAACATTTCATGTAGCTCCTGGATGCTGCGCTCAAGCTTAAGGATCTCACTGTGCCGCGTCTCAATTTCATTCAGGGCCTGCTTTGTCACTTGTGTGTCCTTCATGATCTGTATGAACAAGAGGTGGGAGGTTAAGCATCCCACAACTCATGAAGCCACAACTTCCAAAGACAGCACACTTTTTGGTACTCACATTAGAGACAAACACCTCCGTCTGGCCACTCTCCAGCATCTGGTCGAGCTCTTCATCTGACACCACCCTGTTGTCCGCTGATGGAGAATCAAGAATATAACCTCAAATAGGTCTGTTTCTCATCACAATGGAGAAATAATTCAGATTCTTTTGGCATTAGGGTTTTTGGTTACAAAAACCCTAATAGTATCAGATCTATCCTGGAATTGAGAGCAGAACCCAAATATTGGTCTCTTATTCTAAAACACCAGTAGCTCCACACTTCTCAAAAGAGAATCCATAGCCTACACTGGAATATTGAAAAAAAAATCACGTGTTACTCTCTGCTGGCACTACAGTGCCCTCTGAAGGCCCATTACAAGAAAAAGAGGAGGAGAAATATGGTCATCTTTTGTCTATGTGTATGTCTAACCCTTGTTCACAACCTATGTAATAAATTTCCCCTTTTCCATTTATTCTTATTTTGGCACTAATTCTTTAAAATATAATCAAAATGTTTTAAAAAATACTAAAGGAGCTGACCATATGTACTCCAACCTGGGGTGGGAGGAGCTGCCACCTTATATTCTGCAAATGTTTTAGGACAGCTCATTCTACATATTCTCTTTTACTTATTTTAGTTTACTTGAGAAAGTTGTAAATGGTTTCCATATTGAATGGTCTGACAAGGGCTGCAAACATTTCTTGGACACACTCTGTCAGCCATATTTGTTGGACAAGTCCAACATCCACCTGAACTGAGTCATACCCTGGCTTTGAATATGTGGAACAACTTCCCATTGACCAAGAACAAAAGAAAAAAGGAGTTGCCAAAGTCCGGATTTTAGACAGAAGAAAATGCTAAGTGCAAGGCCATCATTTGTTAGCAAACAGGCATTCTATGAAACCCCCTTCCAATTAGTAATCTTTTTACAAAGCGCTGCTCATATATCTACACGTTTTTACATCCTCTACAGCAGATGGAAAACATTTCATGGCAAAATCTGAAACAATTGAAGAGCTTATTCCTAGTAAACAGGACTGCAGCATGAGCAGGTTTCCAGAAGAATTCAGCCTCCTTTCTTCCCATACACCACCAATGAGGGGTGGCAATGGCGAAGCATCGTACTTTGAATCTTTTCAGTATGTTTCAAGCCACAATTAAATGTGGATAGAGTCCATAGTAGAGAAACCATTAGTAGTAAAGGGTTACTACATAGGGCTGAATTATGTTTCTCGTACAAGGATCTCAAACTTAGAATAATAGAAGCTGTAGCAGAATACTTTAGTTATTTAATTACAGTATAGTCCACCCTTCTCACCCCAAAGGGGACTCATGGGGGATCACAGAATACACATACAGTGAACATTCAATGCCATTATACACTAACAAGACAGACAACTGTACATAAGGTATATATAGGCTTTCCCATCTTCGGCATCTTGGAGGCTTGTGAAACCAAGCCCTATGAGATGTGGCTGAGGGAGAGCGATATGTTTAGCTTGGAGAAAAGAAGGATGAGAGGGGACATGACAGCCATGTTTAAATATTTGAAAGGATGTTCCATTGAGGATAGTCATGCTTGCTTTATGCTGCACTGGAAACTAGGACATGGAGCAATGGATTCAAATTGAGGGGGAAAAGATTCCGCCTAAACATTAGGAAGAACTTCCTGATGGTAAGAGCTGTTTGGCAATGGATTATGTTGCCTCAAAATGTGGTGGTCTCTCCTTCTCTGGAGGTTTTTAAGTAGAGACTGGATGGTCATCTGTTAAGGATGCTTTGATTATATGTTCCTGCATGGCAGAATGGGGTTGAATTGAATGGCCCTTGAGATCTTTTCCAACTCTGTGATTCTAAAAGGGAACACTTACAGCTGACCTTACTTCTCTTTCATTATTATTCACAACTTGTATCCTTTAGTCTTTCAAATTTATTTGGAATCTGGATGGAGCAGGCAAACTGATGGATCTCTCCTGATAATTATTTTCACTGAGACATGAAGACAACACATCTTTACTTGCTGTTCGAGAAGAATCTGCTCATCAAGAATTTCAACATGGTTTGTTTTAAATGATTTTGAACTGGCTCTGCTATCTAAAAAGAATTGGAAAACCTTCCTCCTTGCCTCTGGCTGTGAAGCCCTGAGCCAAGCAGGTCTGCGCAGCTTACCTTCCTGGCTTTCAAGGTCATCTTCCTTCAGAGGACAACAGGCAGCCTCTATCCATCTCCACAGGAAGATGACTTGGCCAGCATACAAGTACCTGCACGTCACTGAGGCTTTTTATAAAACTGCACATTCAGAGGTGGAGCAAAAAAGTGCTTCCAAGATATGAAAACAATGGAAGGGGAGGGGGGAAATTAAGAGGCAACATTGTACCAAGCTTTTCACACCAGAAATTATTTGAAATTTCTGCAAGGAGCCCTTAAGGAGGTTCCTTCCTGCTGGAATGCAGTCAACCTTAAGATGTCAAGTCATTAATTCAAGGGATTTGAGATGTTCTACTGCTACACACACACACACACACAATCTACCTTCTCATTATGGGCCTCGTGCTTTCTTGATTCACTCATCAAACTGTGCTCTCAACATACAGGCAGCTTTACCTCACCATCTTTGTGCAGTCCCCAAACAAAATTACTTACAAAAAGGGGAAAACATGTCAATTATCCTCCTTGGAAAGCCTACAAAAGTTTCAGGCTTCCTTGCATTTGGAAACCTGGGCAATATTCTCTTGCCATATGTACTCTATTAAAATTTAGGAATTTGAAGAAAGGCAGGAAAATATGATAGCTAAGCCTAGGTAATGAACCTATGTGCTATGGCCCAATATGCAGCATCATTTTAATTAGGTTGTGGTGAGCTAATGGCCAATCTTAAAAGCCACACACAAATGTTCTAATATATAGAAAACAGGAAACCTCACACAGATAGAATTATCAAGGATCAGACAGGCAAACTCAGAAAACACCAAGAATCTAGGAAGTGCTGTAAGCTACGAAAGAATCTCAATGGCTGTGGATATCCTTAGTTCTGTTTTTCACCAGAGAATGTGGATGGGACAGTAACTCCCAAAGCCCAGTACTTACACTATTGTTTTTGTTTTTCAAAAAGAAAAAAGAGAAAGTAGAAAAATCAGATTTTACTGCCTATTATATAAATAAAATTATTTTGCAATTTGTTTTCAGTTTCTACAAGTCATTGAGATAAATACTTTAAAAAATTAATTGGAAGCCCTGAACGCCACCACAAACAGCTCACATTTTCCAATTTCATTCACAATATTAGAAATTTGTGTTATTAAAAAAACCAAATGTCTTGTATGCTGTGAGAGAGGCAAGGACCAAATGGGTCCCAGAGAGCATAATCTGCGTGCTTCTATACATCCACCTCCAAATTGCAGCATGGTGGCTAAATTAATAGGATTATGGTGGATCCTAGATATCTGTTGAAGTCTGGTTCCAGAATCCAACCTCACTTCATGGATAATGATTCAGGTCCCGGCTATTTGGCAGACTGCATCCCCTTGTACAAACTTGTCTGGGCCCTGAGATCTTCAGGAGAGGCCCTTATCTCAGTCCTACCTCTATCCCAAGCTTGGTTTGTGGGAACGAGAGAGAGGGCCTTCTCTGTGGCTGCTCAGCGACTCTGGAACTCCCTGCCCAGGGAAGCCAGAATGGCCCCCTCCCCATTTTCCTTCCGGTGGCAGGCTAAAACCTTTCTATTCAGGCAGGCTTTTAAAGATGAAGATTTTAAAGATCAATTCAGGGGGTGCTGTGGTTTTAGCTTTGAATATGCCTCAAATATGTTTTGATGGTTTTGACTGAATCTTTTATTACTGTGTATATTGAATTCTGTTTTAATATTTATATATTTGTACATTTTAAATGCTGTGTTAATGTTTTTATGTTAAGCTGCTTTGAGTCCCCTTTGGGAGCGATAAAGTGGGGTACAAATAAATATAACAACAACAACGCCCGTGGATGCTCAAGTCCCATTATATAAAGGCACAGTAAAATGGTGTCCATAGTGTAAAATGGCAAAATCAAAGTTTGCTTTGGGGACTTGAATAGTTTCAGGCCGTAGATGGTGGATTATGTGGGTGCCGAATTCATAGATATGGAGGGACAACTGCATTATGTTTGGATTTCAGGGACTCAGTCATGAAAGAATCTCAATGGCTGTGAACAAGTCATTTTCTCAGCAGCTATGCTTCTTCAGACACCACTCCTCATTTTCCTGATTTGGTAAGTTTGCAATGCTGCAAAAAGAAGAGATCACCGTTTTGGGGCCAAAATGCAGCTGGCCCTGAGGTACAAGGATAGGCACTCACTAATCTGTAGCTGTCGCTTGATGCGCTCCAGATTCCGGTCCCGGTACTCAGATTGTATGGAGTTGCACTTATTGATAAGATCCAAGAACTGCTGAGATAGAATGCCATGCTGAAACAAAGATAAAAAGAAGGGGTTAAGAAAATCTCTCCTGCTTTTTTCCCAGGCCTCTAAGAAACTAGTTGGCAAGACTGCCTCTCACCTGGGTTCTCTTCATGCGGGTGTTGACAGAGTTTCTGTTCTCATCTTCCTCATCTTTCTTAGGTTCAATTTCTACATTTTAATTTAAAAAGGGATATAATTAAATCTCTCTCCTAGACAAGAAGACCGAAACCACTGAGCACTCCCTCTTCAAGCTGAGGGCAGAGAAAAGGAGGTCTAATAGGCACCCCCTTCTCCTTGTGATCATTAAAGCAGCATCCTTCACCCACACTCACTCTTTAAGCGGGCTCGGATATCTTTTGACAACTCCTTGATCTCATCACGAAGTGTTTGTAGGCTTTGTTTCATGCCTGAAAAACAAGAAGGGCAAAAATTCAAGAACAGTTACTGGGTTGAAAGAGGATTAGAGGACTTTTGCATGGACTAACTGAACAAAATGCACATGTTCTACTTTCCCACAAACATGTTCTACAAACCATATGGTCAAGTTATGATGGTTGCTTGCCCTTCTATCAAGTGTCAGAATTTGCTCAATTCCTAGAATCCACTGCCTAGTCATAGCATTTCTTCCTGAACAAAAGTAGGTCAGTTCTACCCCATTATCTTGTCTGAAACTAGGGCACATTTACACTGTAAATAATGCAGTTTGACACCACTTTAACTGCTTTGGCTCCATGCTATGCAATTCTGGGAGTTATAGTTTTTATTTACCAAAAAGTGCTGGTATCTCACCGAACCAAACTCTAAGGATTCCATAGCATTGAGCCATGGCAGTTTGTCAAACTGCATAAATTCTACATTGTAGATGCACCATCAATCATCTTCCGCCTACACTGCTGCAACATCTCCTCCCTAGTATCTCAGTTCCCTTCCCTCTCTCCAAAAGTCCATTGCCAAAATTATGCATTTGCTGTTCTAAAGTCTGATTTTAGATTCTTTCCTTGTCTTCCCAGTTACTTTCATATGCAGCACAAGCACCTGGTTTTTACTTTTCAAGATATTTATAGCCTTGACTCATTCTCCTTTAATGTTGCTTGTTGTATTCTAACCAGAATGACCTCCACTTCTCCATTCCCACCCTGTTAATTGAAGATACCTTGCTTTCTTAGATGATGCCATGTATTTTCCCTTGCTGGCCCCTTCCCGTGAGCATCCATTCCAGAATATGTACACTGAATCTTATCCCCCCTTCAAATTCTTCTCTAAGGCTCACCATTTCTTATATGGTCTCTACCTGCCACTTCAACTCTGATTCCTACTTGAACTACACTTTTAAAATGTAGAACAATAAGCCACTATTATTACCTCTTTATCTTTGGCAGGCATGTAGCCGGGGGGGGGGGGGCCTTGAGGGGCTTCACCCCCCCGAAATTCTCATGGTGGTTCATGAAAAGGCCTTACTGGTGCATTATTTAAGCTGTTATGTTTATTCATATCATGATCTGATCACCATACTCAATATATCCCATATGCATGGGGGTACTGGGGTAATGATACAAAAGGTTGGCTAGGGTAGACCCTCTTTCACTCAGACTCAGCCCCCCGAAACTCAGCCCCCCCCGAAACCCCCTGAAAAAAATTCAGCCCCCCCCCCCCCCCCCCCCCCAAAACGAAATCCTGGCTACGGGCCTGATCTTTGGTGTATCTACATCACCTGTGTAAATCTAAGTTGCCATGTTCATTAATGGCAAGTATCATTTGGTACAACTCAGGGTCTAATCTGAAGGAAAATAATATTGCCAACTTGCCAAAGTTGGTCCTGGGCCGCTCAGTACATGGATGGGGAACTATGGGGCTCTTCCACACAGTCATATAACCCAGAATATCAAGGCAGAAAATCCCACAATATCTGCTTTGAACTGGGATATATGGCAGTGTGGACTCAGATATTTTGGTTTAAAGCAGATATTGTGGGTTATATGGCTGTGTGGAAGGGCCCTGTGTAGGAATTTTGCATACATCACTTTGACATTTTCAATAAATATTAAATATTAATTATAAAGAATAAAACAAGAATGGACTCCAATATGCAGCCCCAGCATCAAGACAATTCTAATTCTCCACTGCCTACATTACAATATTTAAGTACTACCTAATTCTGCCCAAAAATCTCACACTCCCCCAAGCCATCTCTGCCCACTGCTTTCTGAAGATCTTTGTAAGGTCGCAGTCTCCACCGTTTTATCAATCAGACATCTCCATTTAACATCAACTTACTATCTTCTGGGAGCGGAGTGGCCAAAATTGTGGCCTGCTTTTTCTCCAACTCTTTCACTTTATTTTCCAGAGTCCTTAAGGCTTCACGAATGCCACGTGTCTGAAAAGGATATGGAAAGTGATAAGTCAGGAATCTACCTTCTCAGTCCTCACTTGGAATTTCTAAGGCTTTTCAATAATATATTGATATTCTTTTCTTCATCTCTTCCTAAGTTCTTTCTTTTTTTTGGGGGGGGGGGGATTCATTGCATGCCCAAAAAAGAAGGCACTAGACACACCTTCTTTCTATTGCAGTAGTCCCAGAGCCTTCTGCAATGAAAGAACGTACAAGCTAAGAAGTTCCTCTGCTGTTGGAAAGCCATGCTTCTTTCACTGCTAATGATGAAAAATGACCACCACAGCAACATGTCTAAACTAAATTATATGTCACATACAAAAACAAAACAAAATCTGTCTGTTTCAGAAAACTCCAAAAGCAGGTCAGACAATTCACCCTCACACTACTCAAGTGCGGTATGTATTATTAAAACATAGTTAAAACTAAAACTGCACTGTAAGTAAAAGCATAATGTATAATCACTACAAGACTAATTTCGGATAGGATATTATTATTAAAATCCTGGATTTAAAAAAAATCTTGGTACTTGAAAGATAACACGTGAACCCCAGGAAAAAAAATCAGGGAGGAACCTTTGACAGTCAAAGAACAAATAAGGCTTTTTCTACCTGCCTATGCTTCTTGCAGTTTCAGAGTAGATCAGATAATTGTATCTCATGAGAGCAGGATAAGCGAAAAAGACAAACTTCAATGAAGAATTTGAGGAATACACAAAAGTAAATTGTGTTATACTGGTAGCTATGCACAACACATATACAAAAACACAGAAAATAAGAGAGCAGCCAACTTCTCAAATGTTCAGAAAAGTCACAGTACCATCTGGAAGAATTCATCAGTAGGATCCGAAATGTCATTGGATTTCCCTGGTCCTCGCTGTGTGACCAGAGCCTCAAGCTCGGCATTTTCACTGTCCGAATCATCACCCTTCTGTGAATGAGAAATTTGGAAGGAGATCAGGTGTGCTCATACCAACATAGACTGTTCACATATGGCCATGGAGCAGGAAAGGATATAAAGGAATAAACCGTTCCTCTTAAGCGTATCTGCATCACCTTACAAACACATTAATTTCTGTTCTTTTACTAGAGAACATAACCTTTTAGCAAAGAGCCAAAAAATCCTTTAGAGCAGAATCTTCTCTTGTAGTATACAACCAAATATAATTATGCTAGGCAATTGTTTCAGTTGTTAGACTGAATAACCTGCAGTCTCCGATCTGTCTAGAAAACAGATTTGCCAGTGCATAAAAACAGCAGAGCTTTAGAAATTGTTTCTTTTCAGTGCCCAAAAAAGTACTCTCCCATAAGAACAACCTGTTTCATATCATGCATTCAAGAGACAAAAAGGAAGTAGACTTTGATGGTTTACTCACAACTTTCATGTGATCAGCACACACAAATTAAAAAAAACTTATTAGTCCAGTTTCAAATATCTTTGAGATGGTTCCCTGGCCCAGCCTGCCATTACATGTCTCTTGTAACAAAACAGCTATCAACAGGTCACATAGTCAAATGGAGAGAGAAAGAGCATGTGGTCTGCAGCCCCTTTTATAACTTCTCATAAACCAGAGAGTAAAGGAAGCTGCACATCAGAACATACATACTGGAAACTGTAACCAACAAGATCATAGACAAATAGATTGCTAGAGAAGACTCGATGAAGATTGTCATTTCCAACATCTTTAACTCAAGAGAGTTTCTTAAGAAACTATCAAAGAACACTGATTTAAAATGATGAAGATCAATGATTTTACTCAGCGCAGAGCAGAATGGAAAATTATTAAGACATTTCAAGGTTGTTCAAAAGCCTGACACAACATAAACAGGCCTGGCATCAAGTGAACAACTCCATAGAACAGATGGTTCTGTCTTGCACCTGATGGCTTCACAACCCAAGGTACATCGAACTGTAATGCAGTTAGACACCACTTTAACTTCAATGACTCAATACTATGGAGTCATGGGAGCTGAGGTCTTATCAGACACCAGCACTGTCTGGCCGAGAAGGCTAAAACCCTAAAACTACAACTGCCATGACTCCATACTACATGAATTCTACATAAATGCCCCCCAGGTCTTCTTTCTTATACAGTATAAGCGGAGGAAACATCTTACTATCAAGTCAATCACAAAAAGTGCCAAAGTGTTGGTGAATGATGACTAGATTTTCATTTGAACATGTGAAAGCTTGGCATGTATACTTAGTAACAGGATCTGTGGTGGATAACTGGTAATCTCTGGTTGTAATAATGAGATGTATCACTCAACAAAGTTGTAGACCTACAAGATTTTCTGGTAGCTAATTGCCATCCATCATCCTCTGTGGAGGTCATCTTGGCTGGTTACAATGTCTTAGTACATTAGAAAATGAAATATTAAGTTACCGTATTTACACATATTCGGTTCCATATAAAAATAAGAGTGAAATCTCTAAAACTGGGCAATGCGATGTCCTTCCTTAGAGGATATTCTTCTCTCATATCTTACTTCAACATAAGATACACTGCTACCATATTGAAAAACAGTAGCAATAATACAATGAATGTGAGAGGTCTGTGATGAAGATCTCAAAGAAAGGTAAGGCTTGGGTGGGGTACCAATCTCCTATACATGTTGGTCTCAGATTCCTATCTATGCCCATAAGGGTATTTGGGGATATAACTTTGGTTTAGAAGATGGTTAAAACATAATTTATGAGGACTATATACATAAAACTTAAATACAGAAAACACAATTCATGTACTGGGCGTACTTTTTTTTGCAGTTTGTACCAACCAAGAGAGTATTAAATTTACCTTTCAGGTACAGTTAACTGAAAGCTAATATTCTTGGAAAGCTGCATTGTTTGTGTTTTGCACTAACATTGACACTAAGCATAATGATAATAAAAGAGTTCATTTTTAATGATAGGTGAAGTTACAAATCAGTACAAATATCCTATCCAAACAAAAATATAATCAATCACACCCAGAAACCAGCAGCGGTTTAAAAAGTTGAATTTTGTGCAGACTGGATCAAATTTTGCTGTCACCTTTAAACAGGGTTTACTCTAAACTAGGGTTTGAAACCAAAATTTGAGTTTGCACCCATAATTAAGAATTAGCACTTTTGCTGTAATTAAGCTTAGTAGTGATGTTGGTGTAAATTAAGACTACAACTTAAGACTGATCAGGCAGGAAGGTTCTTGTGAGAGTTCAAATACTATGTCCTCTTGCAACTCCACTGACATATTTAAAATATTGCAAACATAAATCTTCTGGCTCCTTGTTTTAGACTAGTAGTTCTCAACCTTATTTTGACTATTCCCCACCTAAGCATCTCTTAAACCCCGATGCCTCCTATCCCCTGGTGACATATAATCCTTAACATTCAAAAAATTAACTCCTCTTCACACGGAGGAAGTCTAAAAGACCATTAACTTGGCCTAAACGAGCTTCCAAAGAACATTTTATTTATTTACCACACTTATACCCCACCCTTCTCACTCCGAAGAGGACTCAGAGCGCATTTACACATAGGCAACAATTCAATGCCATAGAAACGACATACAATTAAAATAAACATTTACATTTTAGGGCATCCATGGAAGAGAAAAATAAAAAAAATGAAAGAACAGCTGAAGTACTGAGGAAGAAATCACTAAGAAATTGTTTAAAGCATAGGGTTTTTTTATTGCAATTTTCCAGTAAGAGAAAGAGTATTCGAACTTTTACAGAACAACATTTAGACATACAGATTCTATGTAACTACACTGAATCAACAAACAACCTACATTTATACTGGCTAACAAAACAAACAAAGGGGGGTTACATTTTCACTCAGCATTCACATTACACATACACATTCATTCATCCTCATTCATCCAAATATTACCATATCCTTTCTCCATCCTTGGAGAACACCTGCTTAGGCCAGACCCTGCTTTTCCTGCAGCCTGCCAACACACAGTTCCAAAACTTCCAAAATGCATCCTCTTTCCCTAAGAACAATGCCAAGGATCAGATCTCTGTTTTCCCTACATAAGAAGTCAACCCCTTGCAAATGTATAATGACTCCAAAATCGCAATCCTTTCTCTTCTCTTGAGAAAAGGAGGCAAGACACCAGACTTCGCTCCATTGCAGATCTGCCACTCTCAAAGGTACACCATCTCTCTCTCTCTCCTTCCCAAGGAGAAGAGTATGGCAGGTGGGCCAGACTTGTCCGGTCTGCCACAATTTTTGGAATATTAGAAGGTCTCTTATATAGCAATATTTCTTGCTGGTATTGTTTCAAAGTTGTAAATGAATGATATTTTGCAGCCTGAAACATCCTGGCTTCATCTCAGTTCCCGCAGATGTTGACTCTCCTTAACTGGTGTTGGTAAACGTAAGGAGTGTAGTGTTGACTTTCTTCTAATGTAAGGAACCTTGTAAGCATTTCCTTAATTTAAAGAGCCATTGTCTCTGATAACGTAAACACGTTTTCCCCAAAACGTTCAACAGTTAATCATTTGTCTCTTATCATCAATGTCAACAGCTCAGCAACTTTTTATTATAGTCCATGAATTCTTCACGCCCTTCTTGCAGTTTTCCAGGCCTCAATCTTAAGATGGCATTTCTAGACTATATAGACCCCCAACCATACATTTTTCATACAATTCCATTCCAATCATGCATCGTATTTCATGGCACTATCATGTGGGAAGTAGTAATATTTATGACACAACTGATCTGACTTGATCTGCATCAAAGTCAGAGTAACTGAAGTGTTCAACTTCTCGTATTGTCTTTGGTGATAATATGCAAGAATATCTTGTCACCTGACATTAACTTGCTTGCGACTAATCATCTTTTTTTTAATACAAAAATATTGACTTACCTATTAAAGTAATAACTGTGCTTTGGATTTTTTCACATATTTTCATGCCATGTTCATATGCATAACAAAGACATTTTTTATATATTTGTATAGCTTGTAATGTTAAAAGAACAGTGAGAGGAGTGAGATGTTTGGGATGAAAGTGGCCTCACTTTTCTGTGCTTCTTCACTCTCCCCTTAACTCTATGCTCTCCCCAGTCCTTCCTCTCTCTGAGCTGGATTTCTTTCTCCCTCTCCATTAACAATAGCTGATTGCTGTGTACATTCTGATTTTAATTGTAAAAATGTGTATGTCACATTATATATTTTATGTATGTATATGAGGCCCCTAGAACCATAAGAAATAAAAAAAATCGCTGTTAATAATTCATGCCCACATTGGAAACTGGGGCTTTAGATTTTCGGGATACAATTCTCACTTTGGTGCATGAGATCCCAGGTTCAAACTCCAGAGTTCGGCCGCTTCATCAAACTACAACTCCCAGGCTCCCATAGCATGGTGCCATGGCAGTACAAACCGCATTAACTCTGCAGTGTAGATGTACTCTTATATGAAAGTTGCAGAGACAACTGCACAGAGGATTTCAGGGATTGCCACAGCACCTGGAGGCCTAATTTAATTGCAGCTTAAACTTTCAATGGCCAACTGCCTGCCTTTATCAGAATGCATCTATAATAGGTGGTAATAACATTAGTACTGTTTCATGAAGGCTACAAGCCATAGCCTGATAACGTTTAACCACAGACAATGATTCACTCAAATTGAACTGAAATGACTTATAACTGTGCATGGAGCATAGATGTGCCACTTCACCTCACAACACATGAAACTATAATAGCTAATCCAATAATTTGACAATATTTGGGTAAGAAGCATATCATAGGGCCTCTCCAGACAGGCCCTATATCCCAGGATCTGACCTGAAGGTTTTCTGCTTTAAACTAGATTATATAAATCTGCAATGCCAAATAATCTGGGATAAATAGAAAGCATGGGATCAGATCCTGGGATATGGGACGTGTCTGGAAGGGTCCATAGACTCACACTGAAGGAGTGAGAAAAGCCGGGGTCCTTCTACACAGCCCTATAACCTAGAATAGAGTGGTGGGTGCCTCAGAAAAACGACAACTTCCAGCACTCCATAGCATTGAGCCATGAAAGTGAAACTGATGCAAAACTGAATTATACAATGTATATGCATCCTGTATTATTTTGCACTAGTCATCCCCTGCCACGTGTTGCTGTGGCCCAGTCTGTGTGTATATATATGTGTATATATTTGTGTATATGTGTATATATGTGGTTTTGCGCATGCGTTGTAATGTATTTTTAAGTTTTTGGCTTTTTAAGTCTCTTCCACTGTGTTTTTTGGTGTTTTTATGAGGGATGGTCACTTGTTGGCCTGACAGGTGTGTTGTGTCCACATTTGGTGTCAATTCATCCATTGGTTTTTGAGTTATGTTAATCCCACAAACTAACATTACATTTTTATTTATATAGACTAGCTGTCCCCTGACACGCGTTGCTGTGGCCCAGTCTGTGTATATGTGTTTTGTGTGTGTATATGTGTGTGTATATGTGTATACATGTGTGTTCGTGCATGCGTTGTACTTTTTTTGGCTTTTAAAGTCTCTTCTGCTGTATTTTTCAGTGTTTTTATGAGTGGTCATTCGTTGGCCTGATAGGTGTATTGTGTCCAAATTTGGTGTTAATTTGCCCAGTGGTTTTTGAGTTATGTTGATCCCACAAACTAGCATTACATTTTTATTTTTTATAGATGAATTAATTAATAATATAAATTTGGTGTTAACCCGCCCTGTGTTTTTTGAGTTGTGTTAATCCCGCAAACTAACATTACATTTTTATTTTTTTATAGATTAATTAACAATACAAATTTGGTGTCAATTCGCCCAGTGTTTTTTGAGTTATGTTAATCCCACAAACTAACATTACATTTTTTATTTATATATATAAATTAATTAATAATACAAATTTGGTGTCAATCCACCCAGTGTTTTTTGAGTTATGCTAATCCCACAAACATTACATTTTTATTTTTTATAGATTAATTAATTAATAATACAAATTTGGTGTCAATTCGCCCAGTGTTTTTTGTTATGTTAATCCCACAAACTACCATTACATTTTTATTTTTATAATTAATTAATACAAATTTGGTGTCAATTTGCCTGGTGTTTTTTGAGTTATGTTAATCCCACAAACTAACATTACATTTTAATTTTTTTTATAATTAATTAACAATACAAATTTGGTGTCAATTCGCCCAGTGTTTTTTGAGTTATGTTAATCCCACAAACTAACATTACATTTTTACTTTTTATAGATTAATTAATTAATAATACAAATTTGGTGTCAATCCGCCCAGTGTTTTTTTGAGTTATGTTAATCCCACAAACTAACATTACATTTTTATTTATATAGATTAACAACCACTTCCTTTCCTTCCATTTTTGTGGCTACTAGGGCTGGGCGGTTTCGTTCGTTAATTTCGTAATTCATTATTAATTCGTTATTTTTTTTATATAACGAAGCGATATTGAACCATTCAGGAGCAACTAAAAAATGAAACGAATTTTTCCAATTCGTTTCGTAATTGTTTCGAAATTGTTTCGTTATTATTTCCGTATGTCTGGTGCAAGTTTTATAGTCGTTGTTTGTTTTATCAGTGATAAAAAAAATTATCACACGAACAGTCAACAACAGAGGGAGAGGGAAGCTTCAGAAGTTCCCCCTGTCCCATTTGGAGGGTTTTTTAGCATATTGCGCAATCGCGTCCGCCATTAACGAATCGTTTCGTTATTGTTTCGAAACTGTTTCGTAATTTCCGAAATTTCGTAAATATCAAACTTTTTAAAAGAAAAAAAATGGAATTCTTTTAAATAATGAAACGCAAAAACCCCCTAAAAGCGAATCGAATTTAGAAACAATTTTTTCTGTGGTTGGACAGCCCTAGTGGCTACATTTCATGAGGAGAGACTTCATCTCAATAATAGATCATTTACATAAATATAGATAATTTACATTTATATATTTAGGTTACTTTAGGGGTTACAACTTTGTTAGGCACTATAAAAAAGGGGAAGCCCAGGAAAGCAACACTATTGTAATGGGAGGATGAAAAAGAGGCAGAAATAAGGGCCAAAAAGAGATGGAGGAAAACAGAACACCCCCTCCTCTCAACGGAGGGAGTGTGACAGGAACAGCCAACGAAGCAGAAATATACGGAGGGGGGAGGGGGGGATGAAAGGAAGAGCGGAGTCCCCTCGCGCCACCAAGAGAGGCGTGGCCTCAGCGACCGTTGTGGGCGTGGCCAGGCGCGCGGGGGAGAAAGAGGGCGCGCGTGCGGATTGCGGGGGGGAGGGGGGGAGAGCTGTATTCCTTACCTCTCTGAGCTCGTGCGTTCGGTCCCTCATCTTTTTTTTTTCACAACTCTGTGAGGAAGCGGAGAGAGGGGGGAGGGGTTGGAACTAGAAGGGAGAGCACAAGACTGCGCATGCGCGCGCTCTGTTTAGCACCCCTCGCTCCGCCCTTCTCGCGGACAGGCTGATCCGTAGTGCGCATGCGCTGTGCCATTTTCGCCTCTGGAGAAGCCAGTTCCTCTTTTTCCTCACAGTCGACGGAAAGATGAGGTGCGGCCCGGAGGCGTTAAAAGACTCCAAAGCCGTGTGTTTATGCTATTACGGAAACGATCCTCAATCAATTTTTTTCCCCCACCTTTCACATGAAGAAGTTGCTTCAATGGAGTAATTATTTTAGGGTTTAAAAACAGGAAGTGACGTCAGGCGTATACATTGAAAGCTCAGCTGCAATATGTCCGCCGCCGGATGTTGTCAGTCCACCGGATGTCTATTTTTTTAATTCATCGGTAATGAGTGCCATAGGGCAGGCATAGAGCAAACTTGGGCCCTCCAAGTCCTTTGAACTTATAGAATCAAAGAGTTGGAAGAGACCTCATGGGCCATCCAGTCCAACCCCCTGCCAAGAAGCAGGAATCAAAGCACCCCTGACAGATGGCCATCCAGCCTCTGTTTAAAAGCTTCCAAAGAAGGAGCCTCCACCACACTCCGGGACAGAGTTCCACTGCTGAACGGCTCTCACACTCAGGAAGTTCTTCCTCGTGTTCAGATGGAATCTCCTCTCTTGTAGTTTGAAGCCATTGTTCCACGTCCTAGTCTCCAGGGAAGCAGAAAACAAGCTTGCTCCCTCCTCCCTGTGGCTTCCTCTCACATATTTATACATGGCTATCATATCTCCCAGTCACTTGAAGTGACTGGACTGACCTTGAAGGAGCTGGGGGTGGTGACGGCCGACAGGGAGCTCTGGTGTGGACTGGTCCATGAGGTCATGAAGAGACAACTGAACGAATGAACAACAACAACATCATATCTCCTCTCAGCTTTCTCTTCTTCAGGCTAAACATGCCCAGCTCCTTAAGCGCTCCTCATAGGGCTTGTTCTCCAGACCCTTGATCATTTTAGTCGCCCTCCTCTGGACGCATTCCAGCTTGTCAATATCTCTCTTGAATTGTGGTGCCCAGAATTGGACACAATATTCCAGGTCTAACCAAAGCAGAATAGAGGGGTAGCATTACTTCCCTAGATCTAGACACTATGCTCCTATTAATGCAGGCCAAAATCCCATTGGGTTTTTTTGCCGCCACATCACATTGTTGGCTCATGTTTAACTTGTTGTCCACGAGGACTCCAAGATCTTTTTCACACGTACTGCTCTCAAGCCAGGCATCCCCCATTCTGTATCTTTGCATTTCGTTTTTCCTGCCAAAGTGGAGTATCTTGCTTTTGTCACTGTTGAACACCCACAATTCCTAACATGAAGAGTGAAGAGAGGGGCCAGGGGACAGTTCTACCTTGTCTCCTGTGCTATGCTTATAATATAATGTAATATAATACATTGTATATACAAGGTGAGGCAGCATAACTTCCTTTTTTCAATCCTCCGAGGTTGAGGGGTGTGCTGTCGCATGCTGGGCCTGTGCATAAGACTGTAGACAGGACATAAATTCTGTGTGCCCAACGGGACGCCGGGGCTGCCTCAGATTAAAGGCCCTTGGATTCCCCCAAACAGAGTCTTTAGATTGCTTAAAGGTTCAATAATGTTCTTTATTAATGAAAACAAACAGGTATTTCAAGGCTTTCTTAACAGTCTATTGGCTCTTTCAATCTTGTCCACAGGGAACAGGCACTATCTTCATGACGTATTTTAACTAATGGGGAAATCCTTAACTTCTAATCTGGGCAGTCTTTCTTTGCCTCTGTTGGCGTGGAGCCCCTACACCCGGTACCAACTGCGTCTGGCTTCCGCGAGTGACCCTTACCAAGAAGAGCTTTGTAGACTTCCAGGGGAAAAAGGAGTTCAGGTTTCAGTGATGGCTGGCTTCAGCAAAGGAGCTGTAAGGCTGTAAAATCCTCAGCCAAGCTGTGGGGCCTTTTCTCCCCGGCCAAGCTGTAGGCTGTATATTTCCCCGGCCAAGCCGTAAAGCTGTATATCTCCCGGCCAAGCTGTAGAAGATGAAGCTTTCTACGGGAGCTCTTGGTATTCTGTCCTGTGAAAGGCTTCTCTGTGTGGACTGAACCAAAAAGGCTCCTATTCCCTCCAAAACCCCAAAAAGGGGGCGGGACCAGGGAACCAAACTATAATTGACAGGTGGCTTGCCCTATGATTGCAGCCAAAAGAAGCCACCTATCTGCAGAGTCCCTGAAACTTAGGACTATAACAAAGCAAACAAAATTGGAGCTCTTGGAACAGCTGTTCCAGAACAATTCCTAACAAAGAGTGAAGAGAGGGGAGCCAGGGGACAGTTCCACCTTATCTCCTGTGCTATGCTTATAATATAATGTAATATAATGTATTGTATATACAAGGTGAGGCAGCATAATTTCCTTTTTTCAATCCTCTGAGGTTGAGGGGTCTGTTGGATACTAGGCAAGTGAGGTTAATATGTAATGCAATCTAATACTACTTCTAATAATAATAACAATATGGCATTATAATTATATATTCATATTTCACGTAATACAGGGTGCAGCAGCATAACTTTCTTTTTTCAAAACTTAATAAAACTCATTGTATGAATCAGATTTTTTTAATAATAAATTTTATTGATTTTTTTATATAATAACAATTTGAATCAGATTTTTTTTTAATAATGTAGGCGCATACCTAAAGTTTCATTTCACGTAGTTTTGAAGATCAAATTAGGTAGGTGACGTCCCCCATTCTCCATACACTGAGTAAACCGATTTCTGGTGTTTGTCATTACTCTTGCCAGCGTAGCAGGCATTACGTTGGCAATTTCTTCCTGGATGTTGGTCTTGAAATATTGTAGGGTCCTTGGACGGTTCACATAAACACGGGATTTCAAAAAACCCCATAGAAAAAATCACAAGGGGCCAAATCTGGAGAGCGGGCCGGCCACTCCAAATCCGCTCGAAAAGTAGGCCTCAACGGCAAAAGCACGCTCCTCACTGTTCCAACGCATGATGGCGACTGAATTGTGTCAGGACAAAACTTTATACCCGCCCAGGGCCATAGCCAGAAAATTTGGGGGGGGGGGGGTTGAAACCTGCCTCCTAGCTCACGCTGAAGCAAAGAGCACAACAGGGGCAGAGCAGCCTTCAATAGCCTGCAGCTCCGCCACTGTCAACCACCTCCACCAAGTCTGGCCTCCTTAATGAGAGCATTCAACACCCCCCCTCCCAACTTGGTTGCTGCACTACATCAGCTATTGCTGCAAGTAATGACAGTGTGAATAAATTGTCAATATTTGTTTGAGATAGTGCTTGCAGTTCTGGAGAGACTCTTAATTTTTTGGGTCTCATAGACTTAGCATGGGGATTTGGTTAACCAGTTAAAATTAATGAGTAAACCAGGTTTTTTTTAACCTGAAAATTTGGGGGGGGGGTTTGAACCCCTAACCCCCCCCCCCCCCGGCTACAGGCTTGCTCCCGCCTCTCGAACAAGACCACTAGCGCTCCGCTATGTTTTCAACCGCATTTTAAAAAAGGAAGTTATGCTGCCTCACCCTGTGCATATATTTATAATATTATAATGTAATACAATATAGTACTAATAATTATATGATATTATAATTATATATTTTATATTACATGTAATATTACTAATATTACAATATAATGGTATAGTACAATATAGTAATATATAATACTGATATTGTACTATGCTAATAATATAATATAATATATTGTATGTATATATATCTTGTTAGCTGCTCTGAGTCCCCTTCGGGGTGAGAAAGGCGGCATATAAATGTCGCAAATAAATAAATAAATAATAGCAGCCTCAGGCCCCTTCCTTTTCCCCCTCAGCTGCAGCTGACGGGCAAAAGGAAGGGGCCTGAGGCTGCTAGAAATTGTGGGAGTCAAAGTTCAAAACACCGGGAGGGCCCAAGGGTAATAGTATGATAGCTGGGTCCGGAAGCTCCGAGTGTTATGGAGATGCTGCATCGTTCCTTCAGGAGTGCTGTTTGCGCAACAGAGACTTAGCTAATGTAAGCTAGGCCGGAGACAGATAATATAGAAGGATTCTAAGAGTTCTTTAACGGTGAAACCCTAACCCTTACCCCAACCCTGAACCGCACTGTAAACCTAACCCCTTGTTGTTTATTCATACACAACTCCTCATGACCTCATGGACCAGCCCACGCCAGAGCTCCCCTTACCCCTTACCCTAACGCCTTACCCTAACCCAAACCCTAAACTTACCCTAACTGTAACCCCTAACCCATACCCTAACCCAAACCTTAAACCTTGCCCTAACCCTTACCCCAAGGGTCTTCTCCTTTCTATCATTCCTTTGCTCTCCCTGTTCTCACTCCGCCCCCTCCTCCCTTATTCACAGCTGCCTTTGCAGCATCTCCGTAATGCTTGGAGCTTCCGGACCCAGCTATCATACTATCACCAGCCCAAGTTTGCCCATGCCTGCCTTAGGGCTAAGTGGTTGTTTAGAAAAATTACTGATGGTCATCGCTTTATTATTGATCCCCTGTTAATAATTAATCAAACGAGTGCCAGCATTGCCAGGAATATCAAGTTATTTCAAATACCCTTTAAAAGATTTAGAAATTTCCCAGAGGCTTGTGGTTGTGGCAAAAAAGAAAAGAAAAGAAAAAAGAAAAGAGGCATATAAAATAAATCTACTTTGAGGTACGTTTAAATTGAACATCTCTATTCAGACACATTCAGTCACTATTCAGAGTTTCAGAAAAACATCTATTTTGTTTTATTGACTATTCTAAAGGCTTTGACTGTGTGGAACATAATAAATTGTGGCAAGTTCTTGGTGGTATGGGAGACCAAGTCACCTTGTCTGTCTCCTGAGGAATCTATAATGACCAAGTAGCAACAGTCAGAACAGAACACGGAACAACCGACTGGTTCAAGATCAGGAAAGGAGTATGGCAAAACTGTATACTCTCAACCTACCTATTTAACTTGTATGCAGAACACCTCATGTGATGTGCA